GAGATAGTCGTTTCCAGACTTGATAATTTGACTTAGATTATTTTACATAGTCAAAGTCGAATTATACTACAACACATTGAGGAGGATCCAGGAGATAGCCATTTACAGAGCCGATAGTTTGACTTAGATTATTTCGCATAATCAAAGTTGAATTATACTACAACACAGTGAGGAGGATCCAGGAGATAGCCATTTACAGAGCCGATAGTTTGACTTAGATTATTTCGCATAATCAAAGTTGAATTATACTACAACACAGTGAGGAGGATCCAGGAGATAGCCATTTACAGAGCCGATAGTTTGACTTAGATTATTTCATATAATCAAAGTTGAATTATACTACAACACAGTGAGGAGGATCCAGGAGATAGCCATTTACAGAGCCGATAGTTTGACTTAGATTATTTTACATAGTCAAAGTCGAATTATACTACAACACATAGAGGAGGATCCAGGAGATAGTCGTTTCCAGACTTGATAATTTGACTTAGATTATTTTACATAGTCAAAGTCGAATTATACTACAACACATTGAGGAGGATCCAGGAGATAGCCGTTTACTGAGCAATAGTTTGACTTAGATTATTTCACATAATCAAAGTTGAATTATACTACAACACATAGAGGAGGATCCAGGAGATAGTCGTTTCCAGACTTGATAATTTGACTTAGATTATTTTACATAGTCAAAGTCGAATTATACTACAACACATTGAGGAGGATCCAGGAGATAGCCGTTTACAGAGCAATAGTTTGACTTAGATTATTTCACATAATCAAAGTTGAATTATACTACAACACATAGAGGAGGATCCAGGAGATAGTCGTTTCCAGACTTGATAATTTGACTTAGATTATTTTACATAGTCAAAGTCGAATTATACTACAACACATAGAGGAGGATCCAGGAGATAGTCGTTTCCAGACTTGATAATTTGACTTAGATTATTTTACATAGTCAAAGTCGAATTATACTACAACACATTGAGGAGGATCCAGGAGATAGCCGTTTACTGAGCAATAGTTTGACTTAGATTATTTCACATAATCAAAGTTGAATTATACTACAACACATAGAGGAGGATCCAGGAGATAGTCGTTTCCAGACTTGATAATTTGACTTAGATTATTTTACATAGTCAAAGTCGAATTATACTACAACACATTGAGGAGGATCCAGGAGATAGCCGTTTACAGAGCAATAGTTTGACTTAGATTATTTCACATAATCAAAGTTGAATTATACTACAACACATTGAGGAGGATCCAGGAGATAGTCGTTTCCAGACTTGATAATTTGACTTAGATTATTTCACATAATCAAAGTTGAATTATACTACAACACATTGAGGAGGATCCAGGAGATAGTCGTTTCCAGACTTGATAATTTGACTTAGATTATTTTACATAGTCAAAGTCGAATTATACTACAACACATTGAGGAGGATCCAGGAGATAGCCATTTACAGAGCCGATAGTTTGACTTAGATTATTTCGCATAATCAAAGTTGAATTATACTACAACACAGTGAGGAGGATCCAGGAGATAGCCATTTACAGAGCCGATAGTTTGACTTAGATTATTTCATATAATCAAAGTTGAATTATACTACAACACAGTGAGGAGGATCCAGGAGATTACTATTCCAGGTTCAAGATACAATAACAATACGAGACGTACAAGTGGTACAATATACATGAACTTTGCATATTTGGGATACAACAGTGTTATATGGTGATCATCAGTTTCAATTTATATGGACTCTGGATATTATTTTATCAGTGATAATAATTATTAGCTCATATGGACTTTTGAGTTGTGAGTTTTGAGAGAAATAATAACACCGTAATATTCTTACATTACATTTGAAATTGCATGTACATCTTATTTGGGCTTATAAACGCCACAATATATTGTTTTATATTATATATATAAAATTGTATATTTTGTTTATTTCTTTAGGGACAAAGCACATTTAACGTGTGCCGTGCAATCCACAAGTAAACACCGTTTACTAAACAGTGGTCTTTTTATTAGCCACACTACCACATATCCACAAAAAAGGCCAAACTGTTACAATAGGTAAAAATTGCAAATCTCAAAGCAACAAAGACACTCTAAAGAAAAAGGAAACTGAGCTCATTATACTAGCCAAATCTATTTTACAGCTAACATTGCCATTTCTTCAATATTCTGATGTTCGATGACAAGGAATCTAAACTTGTTATTCTACAACTGTCAAATTTTGAACATCATCAATAAAACATATGTTTTACATGGAACAACGGGAGACATGAGTTGCTATTCCTATATTATTTAGTATTCCCAGGTAGTGCTGAGAAATTTTACTTTGAAGTACGCCTATTCCAATAATATTGACACGATTAATCAATATATGGCGATGTACATCACAAATGTGATTGCAGTGATGTCTGAAACAAAACATCGATGTGTATTGAAATCTTCGGGTTGAAAACAAGCTGGATTAGTGATTATTTAGATAAAATTCAGCTTTGTGTCCACTACTGACAACATTTTTAAAACATCAAGTTTTCAATACAAAAGTAGTTGTGGGGGTGATTTGAAAAATCAACCCCACATTTATGGGGGTACTACAGCTGAGACTGTAGTAGCGACTTGCTATAAAGTAGGGATGTCACGGAACAAACATATTTCGGGACAGACCGGAAATTCGTCCATTTCGGGACAAACATTCGAGACGGGACGGGACATAACCAATAAAATTGTTAATAAGTTTAAACAGTTCAACAACTTACATTTTCCATCTATTTCTGGTTATGCTTATGCAGCGCAGATCTTTTGAATATCATAAGGGGGCTGCATATGTTGCGCAAAAACTTGTAATCTGAGATTAATTTTAAGTTGTTACCTTTCTTGCTGATGAAGATCTTTGTTATTGTTTAAATTAAAGCATATTTCAAATGGAAACACTGTTATCGATAAAACTACATGTTCTGTCCTGAATTTTTATAATCACTTATAGTATTTACCACTAGATGGCATTTACGCATGAACATAATCCGGCAGATAAGAAGTAAATTGAAAGAAAATTCTAGTTTAGATCATATTTATCGCGTTTGGGGCGTTTTAAGGTCATATGCAGCACGGACATCTAATACGTTCTTCGAACTGGAATTATATCAATAACAGGACTGGCATCCAGATCCAAGTATTTTTCAAGACCGCCGAGTCTCGTTGGGCTATTTATCCCTATTGACTCAGTTGTTCATATAAATTTACGTACCTGAGATGCTTTGTAATCGGCGTAGATAGAAAATATTGTTTCCTAAATTGTTCTGAAAAGCGATAATTATTACTAAATGTACTTTGAACAGGTCGACTGACAAAAAAGCCGGGCTTCTGGCACAAGTCTCGTTCTCGCTCTCAAACAAAACGTGAAGAACGTGACGTCACTTCCGAATCATAGCATACAAAATAAGTAGCGTTTAATTTCTATCACATTCGTAATATCACGGTGGTCTAGCGGGAGAATCCTCGCCTAGCACGCTGGAGGCCCGGGTTTGAATCCGGTACTTGCTTTTTTTATTTTTTTAACTAAACGATTGTTCTTTGATATTACGCAGAAAAAAAACAATTTTTAATTACATAAACTTTATATTAGAGCTTGAAAATGTAAAAACAATATATGTCAACATATTGCGTTTTGGGGCGATGTGCAGGTTTAAAATTCCCGGGAAGTTTACCCTTCTAAAAAATTCGACCTACTTTAAAAAATGGTCGTTAAAAATGTATTTCTTCGTGTTTCCTATGTAATTAAATTAGACATATTTTATGAGATGTCAATTACTAATGTAAGAAGAATTCATTCGTAAGATAATCATTAAATAATTCGTAATGAACCGTAGAAATAAGTAATTACTCAGGATTTTGCAAGGGACTGATCTTTAGCGATCGGTAATTGTTTATTCCTCGGTTGCTAATGCTATACGTGCAGCTCGTTGAGAATTTCTTTCAAGAAGTGACGTCATTGCAAAACCCCCCAGCTTTCGTTATCTTCATTGTCTAGTTTACGAATACCACATGTCGATGTGATGTTTTAATTGATAAATACGAATTCCTTACACATTTCGTTATCTTATTGTGAAATAGCAAACTAAGAGATATCTTTACTTGCTAGGAATTAACATAATATTATTTGAAGCGATTTTAGAAAATTTTGAAACCGCCATCTTGGTAATATTGATGACGTGATCACCATCGGTCAAGGTCAGGTCATAAGTCATCCATCTTGCCATTAGCCCCGCGGATTGTTACCAGTCGACAAAAAAACGATGAAATCACGTTAAAAATAAAATATACACTTTAAAATTGAGGCTGATTGAATATGACAAGACTCCATTGAATACAGCTGTGCAATTTACAGTCACCAAGATGAGCTAATTTAGGAGAGATTCGGGAATTAAAAAAGGTAACTTCATTTTTTTCATCCGGGTTTCCCAACTTCAAGTATTTGAAATCCCAGAATCTCCTTTCGCCAGAAACATTCTCTCTGACTGTGATATGCAGGAGAAATAGTATATCCTGAACATGGTGCTTTTTCTTCTTTTTGCTGATGTATCGTTGTATGATTATGGCACATCACGACAACACTAAGTAATATACGTCACGAGTGATTGATTGATTGATTGATTCATGGAAAAAATGGATGATACAAGTGCCATATCTTTCCATATTTCCCGATAAGTATTTCAAGAATATATCAAATACACCTGTAAGGCCCCGAAAATAATAGGAAGAGCCCGGGAACATGTATAATAATGCAAAAATTGAACTTTGCCCCATCAAAGTTTGATCGTTTCCTAGGAATGTTGTCACCTAAGATTTTTTCTATGGGGACAGTCATGTCAATCTACGATTGGACAAACTTCAATTTTCGCTTTATTTATACATGTTCCTGGGCCTATGGAAAAGGCTGAAGGCCAACATGGCAACATGAACATGCACAATTTCTACAAACCTAAGTCATCTTCATCACCATACTTGAAGGCTCTTGCCATTCCCTGAGCAATCGTCTTTTTTGGTTTCTTCAATAACAGTATCTATCCTTGAAATAGTAGATCTATTTGTAGGCGAAGATTGGTAGATTAATCCTCTTCTTCAAAACTGAAAACGGGAAATTTGTTTATCCCAAATTTCTTGTACAACTGGATTAAACTAGATTAGTGGAGTTGTAATGTGGTTTGTTATTCACGTAATACTGCAAAGTCATGTTATTCAAATGTTTGTGAACTTTATTTATTGTTTATGGCTTAGACGGCATAAAAACATTAAAAATACGCTACGTTTTTCATTCACATGATTGTTCTCACATATTTGACTGATTGTTGAGGTGGAGTAGATTTTGCAAACATACTCCCTCTAAGTATTATATTTTTAACAATTACTCGCGAATTTACTGCATGTTTTTACATATTCTTGCTAAATGCTGTATAGTATATAGTATGATCGAGCTTTTATAATATTTTGCGATATAACTTTGCTCAATGGTCAGAAAATGTAAATTATGATTCTCATAAAAAAGGAGTAAAATCAATTCAAGTAACTGCCAATATTGAGCTATTAACAAAAGAAGGATTGTATGACATGGATGAATGGCAAACGGCAAGAGTAATTGTTTAGTTTCGAATCGGGGTATGTGAAAAAACGCGTTAGGCCATAAAAAGTAGATTCTTTGTTTTGCGTCCTGGTATAATCCAAATCATGCGAGGGTACAAGGAAAACAAACACAAACTCAAGAAAAATGTATACATTTCAAGGGCACTGGCGGATCTTGGGGGGGGGGGGGCAGGGGCCCGCCTCCCCAAAAAAGGCCTTAAGGCCTCAAAAAGTGGGCCTGTTTGGTCAAAATGGGCCTTCTTTTTTAATTTTAGGCCAAATTTTGAAGAAAATGGGCCTCAAAATTTCAAAATTTGGGCCCACTTTTTGGTTTTAGGGGCCCAAAATTGCAAGTGCGGGAGTTTTTTGCTCAGACCAGAAGTTTGGCCCCCCCTTGTTGTTTCCCAGATCCACCCATGTAAAAAGGGATGGCATCCAATTTGTTGTGATTAGATGTCTATGTCATAGATCTAAACCCTTACTGGCCCTGACTGTGTATAAATAATAAGGAAAATAATTGTGATTACAGGTCACCATATAAATCAAAAGAGAGTAAGACCAAATTTGATAGGACCACCTACCCTTTTTTACATTAGATCTACACACAAATATCAATACATTTTGTACAATATATTTAAACATATAGCTATTGTTCAAGGGGAAAACATAAGAAAGAACACAATGTATGCCAAAGCAATCAATAACACTGTCAATTTTGACGCAAATCAAATTATACTTTCAGGGCAGGGCCCACCCCCACACTCCCTTGGTGTTATAACAATTTTTGGGCCCAAAATCAATTTTGAAGGGCCTCAACAATAAGTGGGCCTTTTATGGGCATAACTTGGCCATTTTTTTAAATTTATTTGTAAAAAGAATCTAGTATTACTGAGAATTACATGTATCTTTTTAAGTTTGTGCCTATTTTTCAGATATTGGCCCAATTTTTGAAAGGGGCCCAACATTTCAAAATTGGGACCCATTTCTTTATGCCCAAGCGCAGCAAGAAATTTTTGCCCCTGGCCCCCAGCACAAATATATTCCTCGGATAAATACAATATCTCAGAAAGCCATCCACATGCAATTCACCTTGAGGTGCAAAAGTGGGAAAAAATGATTTGATTTTAGCCTATTAATCTGTGACTTTTTGGCCATGAATTTCAGAACTTTTGCAACCAAGTTACAAATAAAATTCACACAGGCGCTTTGATAGGCGTACGCTATTCAATGAAACCAGTTGAAAAACTCATATTGAGGGAAGTGTACATCCATATTGTAAATGCAAAACGTTTACATATTTCAGATAAATTAGTTTTATGTGCAATAAACCATGCTTTTATAATTTAGAGGTTTTCAGCCATCCCTGTGTTAATTTTATTTGTTCCTTGGTTGCAAAAGTTCTGAAATTCATGGCCAAAAAGTCACTGATTAATAGGCTAAAATCAAATCATTTTTTCCCATTTTACACAAATGTTTCCAAGCACGTTGGTTTCGTCCTCTTCTGGCACATCTTGAAACATACTAGTATCCCCTTCATTTTCAAGACATTTAAGAAATGAATAACAAAGAAATTAGTATCTTCATACATTTTTATTTACATGTACATTACATAGAGAAAATATAATTGGATGTATGTTGTATTTGAGGTATAACCACAGACAAATACAGAGGAATAATTAATTGAAAACATATCTTCTAGCCTGACGAGCAGGAAAATCGATAGGAGTACACCAGAGGCTGGTAGCCAGGTTATGCTTAGGAGGGGGAGAGTTCAGTTTTTAAAAAATTCAAGGGGATTCAAATTTTATAACTTTGGCCAAAAAATCAGCCAAAAATCACTTAAAAAGTTCTCAAAATGGTGAAAAACTGCATGATTTTTTTAAAGAATTTTGGCCAGAACCCCCTGGCTACAGGTAAGAGTCCATTAGAGATATGATACTGGAATATTATTCTCATTTTCACTTTTATAGAATAATTCATAAGACAAACATACTAGTGGGACTTCTGGGGCAGTTTGATGTGTTTGTACAAATTGTCAGTGTATGATGTTAAAAGGATTACAAAAGTACAAAAAATCAGTAGGCAAGCCAGATGAGTGCATAATGGTAGTTTGCAAGCCTAATGAACGTAAAAATATTTGTTCAAAATCATACAGTTATTTACCATTTGGAGTACTTTTAAGGCAAAATTGTCAAATTAATTTGAACCCCTTGCAACATGTCAATTTTTTACAGACGCTGAATGCTGAACACCAACCACTGCCACAAAAAATTAGAGACTATAATAATATGGTACCACATATGGTGGCATAAAAACTGGATCCCCTTGGCTGGCTACTGTCTGAACCACATTCTACTTTATATTATATCTTTAACTGAGAGAAGCAAAACAACAGAGTAATAACAATCAAAACTAACAAATAAAATGAAATATGTCTTGGACTTTCAATTATCAACAGCTGAGAACATATGAACACAAATTGAGCAAAACACTGTTACATAAAACATGCCTCTGAATCAGCATGAAACAGGGAGCATTTCAAAATACAAATATATGTTCATGTCACCACAGCTAAAGAGGGAGGCATAAATCCCTCAAATTGTTTTCTGACACACAATGATTATTCTGATTATACATATTCAAGGGGATTTAAACATTTTTATACAATACTATTTAGGAAATTTTAACGATATCATATCAGTCCAATAATATCCACACACATGAAAACATTTAGTCTGAATATTTATTATTTGGGAGAATTTAAACATTCTCCCCCTTTTTGCACTTTGAATTGTTAATAACTTCACAACATATTTTCATAACATATCCCGTATCTTTTGGGAGATATTGTATTTGAGATCATGGGTTGGATTGGTTGGCTAATTGTACATGTTGCTTGCAATTTTGTCACCCCCCATAGATTTGATTCTGTCTTTAAGACGACAATAACAGATTGATTTCGCACATCTAAAATGAACTCTTTCATTCGTGAGAATACGAAATGTCAATGGTATGAGAAATGTATGTTGAAATATTATGTATGTTGTGTGAAATAAATTGGAATAAAAAAATAAAAAAAGTATCTGCTGGTATCTACTGTATCACAAACAAACATCATAAAAAAATGGGAGGTTACAATAGCTCACCCAATATTTGCATAATTGACATTTGGACTATTAAATCTTAAATGCTTGCCTTTAACCAAAACTGAGCATGGAAAGTCAATTTATGTCAAATAAAAATAGTTGTTCACCATTCAACATTTATGTAACAAGTATGGCTAATATGAGGAGTATATTCTGCATGGAAAATTTGGGGGATTTTCTCGCTCTCCCTGGCTACAGGCCTTAGACGTGTTCCATTTACATGTTTAACTGTATTAAAAATAATCATCATCCTGGTTCACTTCTATAGTCAATGACGGTAAGTCCTCTAGGAAATTTTTCTTCTTAGTAAACACTGATGTGGTAGTCCTATTTGACTGATTTCCTAGTCTAGCTCTAAGGTCTCTAGATCGGGATGATGTCACTGGGATATACTCTTCCTCATTGACATCTTCGTCACTTTCACTGGTGACATCACTGCCTGGGATGTCATGGAGGAATGTGGCTTGTTTTTGTTCTCTAGTCCTGATACGATGCCTGGCATCATTAAGAAGTTGTCTCTCGGCCATTTCCTTTGCATGGGCCTTCCTGAAACAATGCAATTAGCTCTATTAGATAACTAGACATACAGTGCTAAATATTGCACTTTGAAGAGCAAAATGACAGCCACGTTATTTACCCAGCATGCCCAAAACATAATCTGATAGGAGTCTGATCATGTCAAATTGAATGGATAAGTAGTTCCTCTTGTTGCTTATTGATTGATTTTATAGTGCTTACTTTATTATGGCCCATCAAAATAAAACAATCTTCTATCATTTTTGAATGAAATGGAGTACAAAATACACATTGCTTCAATTTTATTTTCGCCACATCGGCTTCTTTTTTAAATCTTTATACACCTGACTTATTTTTCATTTGAATAAAGACTGTTAATACTGGCTCACTCCTGTCAAATTCGCCAGTTTCATAGGTATTTATTCTTGCTTAAATTTGGCCAATTAAATCTTTGCAAATTTTCCCAATTCGTCAAATTAAGTGCACTAACAGTATTTTCTCTCAAAACACAAATTATGTTCACTAACAAATAAAGCCGATATGATGCAATTGATTTAAACCTTTTTGTAATAATTTTTTCCTCTTCATCATCAGCGTGCATCCTTCGAGATCTCATTTCTGGCTCCGGAGCAATTAATCGTGCAACTTCTGCTGGCGTATACAGGAAGTCATCATCTTCTACTTCAGCTTCTTTCTCAGACCCTTCTTCAGCTGTTGGGTCATCGAGATAAAGTTCAGATTCATCAAAGTATTCGACACTGTCGTCACTGTTGTAGTCCTTGGTCCTTTTTCGTTCCTTTCTCTCTGAAAATATTAAGCTTTAAATTATGATATACTGACAATGGCAGTGGTTTGGCTTGATCTAGCCAAGGCTTATCCAAGTTTTCCACAAGCTCTTCCAAGGACTCCAAAGTTACGGGTTCAGGAGAATCAATATTAAGCGGAAGTTGATGGAATCCTCAAAAGGCAACTAGACAACAGCAACGCCAAAGCATAGCAAATCCCAACAGCCATGGCTGGGATTTTTACAAACAAAGTATATTGCAAAAATGGCAGCCATTTTGAAAAATGGCCACCTTCTACCAAAAGTGTCATTAGACAGTGTGCCATGCTTATAGTATTCACATACCAAATATGAACAAAATCGCTCCACTACTTTTCGAGTTATAGTAAAATATGTTAAAATGCCAGCCATGGCTGGGATTTTTACAAACAAAGTATATTGCAAAAATGGCAGCCATTTTTCAAAATGGCCACCTTCTCCCAAAAGTGTCATTAGAAAGTGTGCCATGCTTATAATATTCACATATCAAATATGAACAAAATCGCTCCACTACTTTTCGAGTTACAGCAGAATTGTAAAATAATGAGTAAAGGCCGCCATTTTTCAAGATGGCGGAACTAAAATGGCCGCCATTTTTAAATGAGCGACCACTTTGAAAATCAGCTTTCGAGCAGAACTTCTACCCCCATAGGGTATATGTGTTCAATATATGAACAAAATCTGGCCAAGGGTATTTGAGTTATTGCCTGGACGGAGGGACGGACGGAGGCATTCCCTATATCCCTCTGAACTTCGTTAGATGAGATAACCAGAACAACGGCAACGCCAAAGCGTAGCGAATCCCATCGAACAGAAATGGCTGGCATTTTTACAAACGAAGCGCAAATATCATAAAACAACACACCAGAAAGGCCAACATTTTCAAAATGGTTGCTCACTAGCCAAGTTGTCATCAGAAGAAATAATATGCTTTTAAGTAGCCACCTCTAAAATTATTTAAAAAATCACACACGTACTTGTAAAATAACACACGTAAAAATGGTGACTACTCCCCAAAGTTTTATTAGACAATGTGCCATGCTTAAAGTATTCACATATCAAATATGAACAAAATCACTCCACTACTTTTCGAGTTATAGTAAAATACGTTAAAATGGCGGCCATTTTTCAAGATTGTTTTCAAAATGGCCGCCTTCTACCAAAAGTGTCATAGGACAGTGTGCCATGCTTATAGTATTCACATACCAAATATGAACGAAATCGCTCCACTATTTTTCGAGTTATAGTAAAATACATTAAAATGGCGGCCATTTTTCAAAATTGTTTTCAAAATGGCCGCCTTCTACCAAAAGTGTCATAGGACAGTGTGCCATGCTTATAGTATTCACTACCAAATATGAACAAAATCGCTCCACTACTTTTCGAGTTATAGTAAAATACGTTAAAATGGCGGCCATTTTTCAAAATGGCCGCCTTCTACCAAAAGTGTCTTTAGACAGTGTGCAATGCTTATAGTATTCACACACCAAATATGAACAAAATCGCTCCACTACTTTTAGAGTTACAGCAAAAATCGTAAAATGACGAATAAAGGCCGCCATTTTTCAAGATGGCTGCCATGTGCTTTTAATATCTACATTTGTAGCATTATTAATGTCCTTTATAATTTTTTTTCATTTAAAACATATTGCTATTACAGTTTTACATATTGCACCTAAATTACTGTAAAATCGTCACTAAAATGGCCGCCATTTTGAAATGAGCAGCCATTTTGAAAATCGGCTTTCGAGCAGAACTTCTACCTCCATAGGGTATATGTGTACGAAATATGAACAAAATCGGGCCAACGGTATTTGAGTTATTGCCCGGACGGACGGACGGACAGACGGACGGACGTACGTACGGACGTACGTACGGACGGACGGACGGACGGACGGACGGACGGACGGAGGCGTTCCCTATATCCCTCCGAACTTCGTTCGATGGGATAATAAGCAATGCTGAAAGTCAACTCCGTCATAAGGACATTGTAGGCGTAGTTAGTTGTAACATTTATACAATTAAATACATGGAGATTGTACCTGGTGGGGGAGAAGGCGATTTTTGTTTCTTTGGGCGTTTCAATTTTGGTGGGTCCATTGTATCTATAGTTTCCTCAATAGGTGGTGCATCAGAGAAGGGGTCAAGGTCATCATAGGTCACCATTTCTCGCTTTGATTTTAGCTCCGCCTCTTGTTGCATTGCTTCACGCAATTTACGTAAACTGAAAAGGAACAAAGTCATCAAAACCATTTCATACCTGACATTTTCAAGACATTTGATGTTTGTTTCTTAGAGATGCTGAAGGAGGTTATATATACTATATATTCATAAATGTCGAGAAGAGTGTACATAATACGGTGATTTCCCCAGGATGTTTTCTCAAGTGGGTGCAAAATTCTCATTTTCACAATTCAGACCAAAATTGGTCAAAAATGCCAAATTTTCATGATTTTTCTCATTTTCAAGTGGGTGGAAATGGATTTTCACGTGGGTGCAAGGGAATTTTCAAAATCTCGGATGGGTGCTGCGCCCACTTGCTTTAATGCTGGGGAGACCACTGTAATAGTAACGTACATGAGAAGGAGTATGGGTACTCTGTTGAGAAGGATGTACATATATCCTATCAAACATGTGGAGAAGGGGAAGGTTAATAGGACCTTACACTTTGAAAGCAAGGGAGCTCGGGCTATATTGATAGCCGACCTAAGTCATATATTCACTGATAGGGACATAACGGCTAATCATACATGTGGAGAAGGAGGAGGTACATATGAACTTACACTTCTTCATCTTGCTGCCGATTTTGAGTAGCACGTAACCTTCGTTTTCTTGATCCACTGATTAACCCTGTAATTCCGCCATAATTGGGATTTCCATATTTCTGATAATACTGACTTCTCTTCTCCGCACCTGGCTGCTTTCTGTCCGCTGTAATGACAAAAATTTGGGGTCAACACAAAAATTTCATTTAATATTTCGCAAATATTATAATTCCAAAATGAGACATTTGAATAGTGTTCTTAAAAAATTTACTATGATTGTGTTTTACACTAGACTTTACTGTTGGCAATAACATGTTTATTGAATTTATAAAAATGAATCATTTTTGTTTCAATGAGTGCGTTACATAGTACCCCACACATAATTTTGTCGCCAACTTCAATTTAAGATTAAAGTACTTTCCTACGTACATATCTTCATGAAATTTAGCATACTTAAACGTGAACATATTTCCAACACTCAAATTTTTTTATTTTACAAACGGATACCAGGTGTTCACTTGAGACTGACAGCAAACTGCTACATTGTTTTACATTTTCCCGCTTATTTTGCACTTCTGACCTCTTTCGGTACTGGTTTAAGAAAACTGTTTTGAATTAAATCTGTTCAGTTGAATTGTAACAATGAAAGGGAAAAAAGGGTTTTCCAAAGGGGAACAAAACCCCTCTTCTATTTACTTCAAAGGGAGGAATGTTGAAAAAAATATTGTGGTAAAGTGTACAAGAACGTATACACCAAGAAGGCGAAGTTCGATTTTAGAACAGTTAGACCAAGGCAGATCCAAAACCAATGTTGCTGGAAACCATGGAATAAATATCAGAACTGCATGTTCAGCGGATTGCATCTACTAACCAGAACTCACCTCAGCAACGGGGTCCAAAATTGAAGATTGTACCAAATTCAGAAGTTGAAGATGTCTTATTTGACATCGCAGATCATGAGCCATTCGCACGGATAACGGAGATTAATGGCCAGCACGTCGCAATTAAGAGTTGAACCCGTGGACGGATTTATTAGAGTTTAAAGCTAATATGAACTGAATTTGCAAAATACAAACTGGAATTTTCATTATAGAATAACTTCAAATATAGCCATGTTCAGCTAAACAGTAGTAAAAGTACATTTACTTCGCTAATGTAATATACAACATGCAAAACTAAAACATTCAAGAATACAGTTAAAAATGCTAAAATAGCCTAATTTGAGGCAATTTTGCAAAATGATACTGCATTTTGAAAATGTTGTTAAAAAATAAATAATAAGTTTTATGTTAAATAAAAAAATTTGAGTGTTGGAAATATGTTCAAGTTTAAGTATGCTAAATTTCATGAAGATATGTATGTAGGAAAGCACTGAAATCTTAAATTGAAGTTGGCGACAAAATTATGTGTGGGGTACTAGTGTATACTATTAATATAACTGTACCTTTAGTAGCCAAGCGTAGATAAAGACACCTTGTCTTTGGACACTCGCAACCAATCCGCCACTTGCCAGGAGGCAAAATTAAGCGTTCAAAGTTTTTCGGCCACTTGAACTGTGTATCTTCTTCAGAGTCTGATGATTGTTTGTTCGAGTCTTCAGCTGCGACATTGTCAGATTTGTCATCAGTTTCTGCAGGGTCTTTCTTTGCAGGCTTTAAAACCTTCATAAAGAAAACATCCATTTGATTTTTGATCACAATTTCCCAAGTATGTAATTTATAACAGGAGTGAAACTTAACCTCTTGAATCCCACGCTCTAAAATCGGTTGAAACCAGAGAATTTTTCATTTTTGCCATCTTTGACATTTTACTACTTACCTATACAACTTGAGATTCTCAATTTAGTAAAATTAGACGGCAGAGATCATTTCTACACATTTTAAAACAATGTTCATGTAAATTGGATGAAAATTGTTCAAATACGAGCAATTTCAGTGAACATTTTTATGACGGATTTTCTCGTCACTCTGGGTTTAAAGGTCATTTCTGAGGTGACGAGAAATCCCGTCACTCCAGGTAGTCAAGAGGTTAATAGTGTCTTTCTTTGCGGGCTTGAAAACCTTCATAAAGAAAACCTCAATTTTGATTTCAAATTGCCAAGTATATTCCTTATAAACAGAAGTGAAACTTAATAATCTTTGACACATTAATGATGGTTAGTGAAGCTGCCATTGTTGGATATAAGTACAGTTTTATTGACATCTTGGCAACTTACATGGAAGTCAATAGACATTAACTTGAAAATGGTACCAATCCGCGGTCCACATTGTGAAAATTTATACAAATTCCTTCATTTACAAGTTAAAGTACTCTCTCCATTCTCAAACCAAAACTATTCAGGTAATAAGTTAAAAACTTAATGGGTTTAATTGGACATGTACCTGCTTATCCTTTCCCTTTTCAGTAGCATCATCTTCTGTGTCGCTGTCCAAGTTAAGATCAACATCTGAATCCATTTCAACATCATCTGTATCTGCCTGCTTTACAGCCTCTTTTTCACTTCCATCAGCCTCTTTTTGGGACTCATCAACTTTTTCTAAAGACAATTAAGTTAAAATATGACTTTTGTTACTTAGTTAAGGCCTTGTACAAACCATTGTGAGTTAAAACACTTTTAAATAATGATTTAGAATTTGTGCTCTTTAAAACATCTTTTTGCACTCATGGGCAAATTTTTGGCTCACTTTCAATAGATCTTTCCAATATCTTATTTCATGTCATAGAGCTTAATGTATATGTACAGTAAGATTTGTCATTTCGAGATATTAAATCAAGGAAAAGGCACCTAATTCAACATTATCTAAAAAGTTGTTCGAAAACTTTGAAACAACAATCTCAATACAATTTTTTATTTCATCTATTTTTAATGAAATACTACAACATGTACTTGTGATCAAGAACTTGATCAATTAAAAGCGCCGATCGAGTTATATCTTAACCAATGCAATGAATCATGGTGATTTATGAAACACCTACCTTTATTTTTCTTTCCAAGTTTCTTTTGTCTTTTCTTTTTAAAGTCATCAGGGTCTCTACTAAGGGCTGCAAGAGCTCTAGCTGGTGTCACAGAATCAGTCCATAAAACATTACCTACAATATTGAAGCACATGCATGGTAAAGGACACCAATGTAATAACAATGCAAACCAAAAAGTGGAATTGTAAGGACTTTATTTAGTATAGGTTGTATTAGGTTGTATTGGGTAGGTTATTTATATTACCCGAAAAAGTTAATAAAGTCATTTTTCAGGTAGTGTAGCTCTGAACAGCTTCCTTTTGGGCTGAGTAAGCCTCTAATAAAGGCAAGAATTGTTTTTGTAAAAAGACATGCTGACCAGGCCTTTTTCTTTCATTCAAAACCAGACGTATTAAAATGAGAGACAAAATTTAATATTGTATTCAACAAAATATTCAACAAAAATGTACGACAATTGTTTCACAAGGTTTTCAGTTGACCAAACACTAAAGAGACAATATTTTAAGGGTAGTGATACATACATGATCCATCATCGATCCATTCAATCTCCCCAGGTGAAAACTCCTTGAAGAAATTGAAAACATCCTTAGTAGACATGTCCTCCAATCCTCTTAAGTGAATGGCTTCCTGTCTGATCCCACGCTCTCCTCCACCAAGCTCTCGCTCGCTCACTCCGAGACTGAAACACATGTTCAAAAGTGTACACAGTAAAACCGAATGTTACTGGCACTGGCCAAAAAGTCACTCCGAGACTGAAACATATGTATGCAATTCTTGGTATATAAGTGTACACAGTAAAACCTGTCTAATCCGAATGTTACTGGGACTGGCCAAAAAAGTCACTCCGAGACTGAAACATATGTGTATGTACGAGGGTTGTCCCAGAAGTAATGCACTATATGCTATAACTTTATCAATAATTGATATGTTTCCATGAAATTTTCAGAATATGTTCCTTAGAGACATTTTGATTATTTTGAAAAATTTCACGTTGACTGATGAAATTATATTGATGTTATAATAAAATCAAGTTGGTGAGTTTGGGTAGGGCGGGGCAGGTTATACATTCACGTCAAAAGGAATAAAAAATTGAAAATATGAAATAATTAATCAACAAATACCATTTTGTGTAGCTATAAGAAGTATGCTCAAAAATACATTTTTGAGATACTAAATTACTATGAGCACATCCTAGATTCAATGGATGTATATTGCACAGTGTCCCATTTCACATTTTCTCAAAATAATGCCCTTTGCATGGTATGTACTTTTGATGCCTGTCAGGTCAAACACTCTTGGCAATTTCTTCCACTGTGACTTGTGGAGTTTTTGCCTCCCATGTTTGGGGTCGTCATCCAGGGTCAAATAGTCTCTTTTAAATCTTTTCTGTCACCCCATAATTGTAGTTCTATCTGGTATATACTCCTTATATAATTTCTTCATGGTAGCATTGTTTTGCGTGGCTGTGAGTCCAAGTGAAGTATGAAATTAGGCCACTAAACGCAAGGCCTTCTGTTATCAGGCAAGAATTGCAGCCATTTTTGCAATTTCTTGACTGTGACTGTATTTGAATTCATGACTATTGACATGTGGTATTATGATATCACAGTGCTAAATGTCATTATTTGTACTTGGTTAACATCATGTTGAATAAATTTAACAATTTCCCAAACATTTTGACCATTTAAAGGAACGAAATATTAATAAAATAACACTTTAGATCTTTTCATAATTAGAAAAATTTGTGCCTGCCCTGCCCACCCCTACCCCCGTGTTGTTATAGCAACCATATTGAGACTTAATATTAATGTTTGATGCTGAAACTTCAGGATATAATAGATAAAACTTCAATTGTTATATATACAAAATTTCAGCTGAATTGAAGAATATTAAAGAAAGTTAGAGCATATAGTGCATTACTTCTGGGACAACCCTCGTAATTTTTGCTTTATAAGTGTACACAGTAAAACCTGTCTAATCCGAATGTTACAGGGACTGGCCAAAAAAGTCACTCCGAGACTGGAACATATGTGTATGTAATTTTTGCTTTATAAGTGTACACAGTAAAACCTGTCTAATCCGAATGTTACAGGGACTGGCCAAAAAAGTCACTCCGAGACTGAAACATATGTGTATGTAATTTTTGCTTTATAAGTGTACACAGTAAAACCTGTCTAATCCGAATGTTACAGGGACTGGCCAAAAAAGTCACTCCGAGACTGAAACATATGTGTATGTAATTTTTGCTTTATAAGTGTACACAGTAAAACCTGTCTAATCCGAATGTTGTGATCACATTTCAGGGTTTTTCAAAACCGATGTTTATAGCAGTTTTTAAATTCTTTTTGGAGACATTCAATCTTGGGAGATTTAAATCAAATGATTAAATTAAGTGAACATGTTTTACTCTTACCTTTGGTGTATATTAGTGATATTTTCAGATGTTTTTTCACTATATTTGATACCAAATCTCTTGGCTCTTGCTGCTTTCTTCTCAAGATAGTCCTGAAAAACAAGATTCTTCACAAGGTCATCTTGGTTAATATTAACAAGACATCAAAAAATGTCACCATCTGGTTGCTTTTGATTGGTAAGAAAAGTGTAACAATTTGCAACAGAATGTGTAATATTAAATTGGAGATATCATTACTCGACTGTCACAATCATTCAATAAATTGTTGTTATATAAACAATAAAAACACTGGAAAAAGTGCTTAATATGAGCTTATTTAAAAGGTACACCAGTTAAAAGCTTGTCAAAATTCTTCTGTTTTGGCTTATATTAAGAACTGCACATGTCTAGATTATAAATACCTTAGAGTTGACATCAATTCCAGTAACAAATGCCCCATCCCTGTTTGCATACTTGTGTCTCTCCTGTAATTGTAAACATATTTATTCATTTATTCACCAATTAAGACTTTTCTGAATTTCTAAAGCACACTAAAATGTGCTTTGGTTGGTGAAGTGGTGGAACCCCTAGTTGGCCCATGTACCCCCTAGCGAGATACACCCTTTGCATTTGTTCGACTTTGCTTCTTAAAAGAGCTTCGTCATCACTCTTTCAGTTTTCAATAAATATCTGAATTCACCACACTAATTAAGAGTTTGTCGTCGAAATAAGGACGATGGTCATTTTCTCTGACAAATTTATTGTGCACACATTTAGCATATGTTCCTTCCAGCTTGTTGATTGGTTGAGAATATGTCAGTGCGTTAGGTAGAAACTGATTTATGACCCGAGCCGTCACGACATTGATTGTGGGGGCGAGGCTGCTAAACTGTAAAAAAAGTCAATACTAGGCAGGGGGTAGTTTACTTAGACTCTGCGCACATGGTAAGCGAGATATGGGGTTTCGTTGCCATGGGGTTACTTCAACCATAAGGCTATGACGACATATAAATCTGCAAAGTCCGCCATTTTTAAAAATTTGACCATTTGGTTGAAGTAGCCCCATGAAGAAGTAGCCCTGTATGTCAAAGTTCGACAGAACCCCATATCGTTTTAGGCCCAAATCAATATTGGGGGTGGTAGGTTACAACTTTTTGAAAGAAATGCGTGACATAACAAATATTTTGAACCAAATGTGTGACATAGAGCTCTATACGGAATTTGTGTGAAAAGTCCGAATGTAATAAGTTCGCTTTTTTCGGCATTATTATTATTATTATCGGCGATTTATAAAAATCAGATTTTTTTAACTTCAACAAAATGCATGTTTTGCGTGACATTTTATCGTTTCAATTTTTCCATCAAATGCATGACGATAACGCCTAATGCGTGAGTGTTGACAGGGCAGGGAGTAAGTCTTCAACACCCCTCCATTTATGAACTAATTTTATTCAAAAGAGGATGGAGGGTCAGTGACTTACTCCCCAACATCTATGACATTGCAATCGACTGTGTATCTACTAAGCTGCTCTGTTGGCTAGCCTAACCTGCTGAATCCGGTCTTTTGTTGGCCCTAATTCCGGGATGCTCACGCTGACCTCTACGTCATCATCGTCATCTTCAATTTCCCCTTCTTCAAGTTCATTATCGTTAGTTTCTTCTGCAAGCTCTATATCTGCGTCTAGATCACTCAAGTCGTCGGTATTATCGATACAAATCTTCAGATTTGGAAGATCCTTTCCCTTGACCTCCATTTTGAAACTCTACGGACTGAAGCATAAGCGACAATCTGATTGGTCTTGTCTTCAGAGTATGCAAACAGTTCGTTTAGTGTTATCTTGTACATTTTATGTTAATTTCCCGGGAGCTGCTAAGTTATATATATATTTTTAATTCTATTCTATTCAAATTCTATCACTGTTAAATTATATATCTGCTTTGCAGATTATTGACATAGACTTGATGTTTCTCTTTACTTGTGTTTATCTTGATAAAGTTAGCATGGTTGTAATTATGTTCAATGAGTTGAATTTGTTGTCAAAAAGCACAGAGACATGTAGCACTATGATATGAGATGAGCACTATGATAGGCCCTATAGTATAAGAAGTATATAAAGCCCCATATCAGGCAGCCCCATATCAGTCATCATAAACGTGCTACAATATCCTGTGTCAAAAAGAGCTGATTTTATTCAATATATTAATTATTTTGGGACCCTTTTAACATTTATATTACCTTCCTAAGGCCACTATTATACATATATCGTGAATTGACTAGACTCGAGTGACATTTATCTATTTTGAATTGTAACTGTTGTCCAGAATGCCAGATGGAGCTTTGAAGTGTAGAATGTTAAATGTAAAGAAGCGAAGTCAAATAAATGGAAAGGGTAGTCAGATGGAGAAAAGTTTGATATCATTTTCAGTCATGGGTCTAGGTAGCCAAATAATACAGAAAAAATAATTCAGACATTTTTTCAATTTAAAGTTTGACTGTAACCATTCTTAAGACTAATTTTAAAATATTGAGCATGGTTAAGCATTAACCGAAATACATGTAGGTGACTGGATCCGGTGGCCATCTCAAAGCTCTGTAGTAGTTAATTCTTCCATAGTTTTTCTAGTCGGTTCTTGAAGAGGTTGAAAGTGTTATTTACTAAATAAAATTTGCCTCGCCATTGAGTCACCAAATATAATTTGCCTCGCCAAATTTTAGATCCTGGCTACATCCCTGGCGGTATAAAAGTGACAAAATTTAGAAAAACTGTTTGTTAATATTCATTTTATTGGAAATTTATTAAAAACTATCTTCAATATTGTTTACATCTACATATAAATAAAATTAAATTCTCTGAACAACAGAAATAGGTTACAATGACTGATGCTCAGGGTATATCCCATATCCAAAACCTCCCATGACAAAACTAGTGAACATAAACCTTATACATATCACCTTTTATTAAGGTGGGATCACAATAAATTGTAAGCTTTAAGGCCAGGGTGCATGTTGGAATTATTTTGCAATTTTGAAAAGTAAACCACTGAATATTCTAGTTATTCAAACATTCTGAAAAATTATCAACCCTCAATTAATAGTCTAGGTACACTAATGCATCTTTTGTGCAAGAATGAAAGATGTAGATGATTTGTGGAATGAGTTATGTTTATCTGAAAATAGCACATGGTCATGAAATTTCATCAAAGTGCACCCTGACCTTAAAACAAGACTGACATATTCTTGTTATCTTCATAGAATCCATTTCATATTTGATTATTGTAAAATATGGCTTATTAAAGCTTTGACCATATTATATATTACAGTAAAACCTGTAATCTAAACATCTATCAATGTAAACACTTTGTGCCTCTTAGGGTGTCTTCCACATGATATTGATATCTCATGATCTGTATTCCTTGTAAATTACAAAATAAAATAAACATAACAAAAAAAAATTACGAAAAACATCTACCATAGACTTCCATGTTAAAAAAAACTTGAAATGTGAAAACCTTCTAATCAAAACAACTGACACTGGTTCTGGTCCCACTGGTGTTCAGATTAGACAGGTTTTACTGTATATGTATATACATGTATATCTACATGTGTGTCAAACCACACTATCACAATACTGATAGGGATAAGCATGCATCAAGATAAGATAACGGTACAGTTACAATTACATTTGCTAACTTTTGCAGCTCTTTAACATGCAAATTTTTGTTTATAGCTCAATAACAGTTGATGACAGATCAATAAACAAGGAATTAACATGCAAAATGTAACCACCTGCCATTTGTTACAAACACCAAATGCCAAACACAAACCACTGAACACCTACCACCAAAGACCAACTGCCTTACAACAGCCATCAAAAAGTTTGAGACTATAACAATATGTCATCACTTCTGGTCGTGACAAAAAATTAGTAATGTAATTGAGTTGCATTATTCCTCGAATGACTACCTTATATTTCAACCATACAGCTTAAATGGCAAGATTTCAAATTCTTAATTTTACTATTGCATGCCTGACATAATCAGATACAGGAACTCCATAAATGTCACACGAAAAATCCCTTTGGAGTAAAGGTTGAATTAAGTACAAGTATTATTAAAAAAATTGGCCGAAAATGGGGGTTTATGTCCAAGTGGCCACTACATGTAAACAGTCAAAAAAGCATTCTGTTCTGTTATTTGTCTATGTTATGTTGCCTCTGATTGGTTACTGAATGAACACAGGTGTGAATTAAACAAAGATTGATACGCTACAACGTTGTCCCCAGGCATTTCTTCTCAAGTGGCTGCAAAATTCTTTTTTTCACAATTTAGACTAAATTTGGTCAAAATATGCATATACTTTTCATGATTTTTCTCCTTTTCAAGAAGGTGCAAATAAATTCTCAGGTGGGTGCAAGCCTATTACTGTAACAGTGAAACCTGTAAAATGGAACACCTCTGTTAGTGGAACATTTTTCAGAGTCCAAAGATCAACTGACTTAATGTAAATGAAACTCTGTAAGTGGAACGCCTCCCCAGTGGAACACACTTTAGAGGTACCAAAGGTGTTCCACTTAGACAGGTTTTACTCTCTATTAATACCTCAAGTGGGTGCAATGCTGGGGAGATCACTGCATTACATATAAAGCCAAAGTTCCATTGCATAGAATACCATAAGTGAAATAACCCATGCTTTTTATAGCAAGAAATGTATTATAATATTTTGGAATGTGTTTTACACTATATCACTACAACTCATCCTTTGTAGCACCTTTTTGTAATTGCAGAGATGTTAAAATATTTAATCTTTCTTTGAGTTGATTCCTCTTCTTATCACTAACTTTTTGCTCCTTAAGTTTTTCAACTCTCTTGATTTCATCATCAATCAAATTGTCGCCCTTTTCAAGGACTTTTTTCAATAACTTAATATAGACATCCGCTGACTGTTTCTGACTCTCGTTGATAGAGCCAACCTCCTTTTCGGCTTTTTCAATTATATCTTGACGTTCTTTCAGATCTTTAGTAGAGAAGAATTGTTTGGCAAGTCTATCGTAACTTTCAATGCAGTTTGGGAGTCCAATCCAGATACCTGCAATGAAATAAATAACAAGATTACAACAATCCAGAAACCTGCAATGAGATGAATAACAAGATTACAACATTGAACAATTCAAATTCCTGCGATCCAGACACCTGCAATGATATAAGTAACAAGCCAGATGCTAAATGAAAAATTGTTTCAAATATCATATTTTGATAACATTGGCAAGACTACAATAAGTTCTTCAAACTTTTCCCTTTAAAAGCCATGTAAGACTAAAGATTGCAAGATATGTGTTATTGTACTTTTTATTTGATTGGTTTGAAACTTGAAGTGTACTTTCGAGGTGAAACAATGCTGATAATTTGCATTTTATGAAGCAGGGAAGTCGAAATGTTGTAATAAGCAATGCAATGTATATTTTGAAGAACTATTTCACAAATATTCACATTACAAGTTATTAGATTGGGATGTGTTACACTTTTTGCTTACCCTGTATATACAGTGAAAACTGTAGAGTGGAACACCTCTAGAAGTTGAACACCTCTGTTAGTGCACTACTTTAGAGTCCCAAGACCAACTGACTTAATGTTAAATGAACCTCTATAAGTGGAACACCTTCCAAGTGGAACACTTTTGAGAGGTACCAAAGGTGTTCGACTCAGACAGGTTTTACTGTATGACCAACTTTGTTTGTAATAAAGACCTGCTAAGTATAGAGTTCATTCCCGAAATCCCTTTTATGTGATCTACACAACAACATACCTGATTCTTTTATTAGGAACTGTTTCAGCGCATTCACACTCTTATCATTACTGGTGTAATCTATTGCATCTGCCTGGCCTTCTAGGAACAACTTATACACTGGGAAATCTTCCTTCTTTGCACCAAATCTTTCGGCTAAGTCAGAGTTATCTTTATCACCATAATCTAATAAATACAGAGTTATTCTATGAGAAAAATATGCAATGAACAGAGGTCTTTTTGAGAGCATTGTCAGGGGCCTAGCCAGGTGAGGCAAATATTACAAAATTAAATCATAAAGGTATTTTTTCAAATGAAACTGAAAATAATGTCCAATTATAGGGTGGGCCAAAAATTTTTATTTCATAATGCATGGATGTCGATAATATTTTCCCAGGAAATCCAAAGTTTGTTCACATCAAGATAATGATCATTAGTTACCTTGTATATTGACTTCAGCTAAAAGCAAATCTGGCTGTGACAAAGTAACTTGGGCAAGTTCTTTGAACTGATCGTGTTTTTCACCATATGGGTATGCCTCATCAAACTTCACTAGCACCACCTTGTGCTTTGGTACGATCTGCAAGCAAAAGAGAGATATACAGGGTGTCCATAAAGTCTATATACACTTTACACAACTTTGTATTGTAATTGTAAAGAAACTTTATGGACACCATGTATTGTAAAGAATTCAGAATTTTCTGCCTCCTCCTGGGTGAGTTTCAACCTACCTAACACACAATGTAGGGTTTGTTATTTAATTTCGTTTTTAATTTCTCTTGCATAATAAACATAAAGTTCATCATCTATCCAATAATAGGGTGCATTTTAGTATAGCACATTTATTTTGATACATATAAGAACATTTAGGCATGATAGTACCAAATGTGTTGCATAATGTTGTAAATGTACCAATATTTTTAGTAAAGAAAATCACTCAGTTTGTCTTTTGAAGAATTTTAAAGAGAGTCATATTGGCATTTCATTCTAAACCTACAGAACTATACACTGGCGGATTAGGGGGGGGGGGGCCTGGGGGCCCGCCCCCCCCCCCTTGGGTGGGCCCAGAAAAAAAAATTGGGCCCAAAAAAAATGTTGGGCCAAAAAAGGCCTTTAGGCCCCTAAAAGTGGGCCTTATATATAGGTCATTACATTTTTTTAATTTCAGGCCAAATTTTGAAGAAAATGGGCCTCAAAATTTCAAAATATGGGCCCACTTTTGGGTTTTAGGGGCCCAAAATTTTTTTCCGCTCAAGCGCGGACGCTTTTTTCTCTGACTTGAAATGTGGGCCCCCCCCCCTTGTTGATTCCCAGATCCGCCCCTGCTATAAGACATCAGCCTCAAAATTTGAACCAAGTCCATCAACTGATATTTGAGTTATTCCCCAGACAGAGATCTGATTTGACAAATAACTTCTCTAGAACATCGACTAACTTATAAACAGCTTTTTACACATGTTATTCTCCTTATCTTAGTTACCCTGACTCCCATGTCTGTCCATCAGATGGTGCCTCAAGTACAGTCTATCAAATGTCTGTTACATATGAGTACTTTGGTTTCCCTATTTGGGTTACTGAGGAAAAGAATAAATGATTATTCAGCGATATGCTTTTGGTTGAAATTGTTTGCAAGGTGTCTACAGCAGAAAAACAGACAGGGAGTGTTTGTCTCGACTAAGTTGTGTTATAAAATTGGTGAACTGACTCCTGAGACACACAGGAGATCATGCATATACGTGTATAGCCGGCATGCTTTTCAGATTTTTTGCAACAGAACATTCAAGAAATCATTGATGTTTTGATGTGCTGCTGCATTCACTTTACAAAATCAGAGATCTACCTTGTCAAATACTCCAGCATTCAGCTGCACCGATCCCTGAATTGTTTCCCCAGTTACACTGCAGAGAAGGGCAGCAGTAATTGAGATAAACAACATCATAATGTTGATAACGTGTGAAACTGTGTGGCAGGAAAAGTCACTTCCGGTTTGACTTCCGGTGAAGAGCCTCGTTTTGGGGTTGTTAGGAATGCAAAATTTGAAAATTACTTTGGTGAGTTTATTTATATTTTACAATGTTTTAGTTGTATGAGGACGTCACCCGCCACAACATAGACTGCCACAATATCCAGGAATGTAAAACATATGAATATATTTAGCAACATGCATGATACTATTAGGCAAAATTGGTTAGAAATATAGGCTAATTTTGAAAAAAATTATCTTGGAAAAATATTTTTATCATTGATTGATCACCTCCATTAGGCTAGGGGAATTTTGTTGTATATCTGCACGACAACCTTGTGAAGCTGCCGCATGAACCTCTTGCATAACTGCAACAATCTGTCGAATCTTCACGATAGTCTTGCATCTCTCGTTCCAAGAGTTTTAGCGTTGGAAGCATTGAATACCGTCCTACGTTGTATTTCAATAGTCAAAGAATATTCAATATTGGCGCTATTTATATATATATATTTCTTACCTCAAATGAAATTCTAAACACCACCAGAAATGTCAAAGGCAAAAAGATGCAGCTGTCTCAAAATGCAGTCAATCTTAATCCACTAGTGTTTCAAAAATGTCTGCCACACTGGCGGATCTGGGTGGGTCCAGAAAAAAAAAATTGGGCCCAAAATTTTTTTCTCAGACCAGAACTTTGGGCCCCCCTTTGTTGGTTCTCAGATCCGCCCCTGTGCCATGTAAACACATGGATAATATTGACGTCAAGTTCGATCAACAGACTATCTTAAATTACATACGCTAAGTAATATAAATGAATCATGGATTATAATGCCTCCCAAGTGGAACACTTTTCAGGGGTACCATAGGTAGGTTTTACTGCATAGCCTATTTTTCAAGATCTCCCCCTGATTGAGTTGGAGGTCAATCTACAAAAAATACATTTATATTTTAGATGTAATGTTTGTATCTTGGATTGCTTTTGCTTTGGCTTATAAATGTATGGCCTCATGTATTTTGATGCCTCTCTGACATATGGCTGAAACCCTTATGAACACTAGATGTCATTGTCGCAGACAAAATGAACCAGCACATGCAATGACATAGTCAATCATGTGAGTGCACATTTTTCTGAAGCTGTCGACATCTAGGAGCAAATTGATTTCATCCTCTTGGAAAGTCAACTTTTTTTGAAAAAACATCTCATATTCTTTTTTAAGTTGTGACATATAACTTTAGATGATTAAACAGTATTTTCAATTTTAACATGGTTTGCAATATTGGAGCTTTAACAGTTAATGAGGATTTTGAAATTTACAAAAATTACTATTCAAGCACAATATTGCAAATTTTGTTTCAGGAGATTCTACGATATGAAGCTAAGGTGAAGTAATGGCTGCAACATCTCCCATAGTGACATTATGGGTCAAGAGTGAACCATTTAGTTTTGGAGCTCTTCCCGTAGCCCCGCATCCCCGTCTCTCAGTCCATGTGAGTAGAGTTATGAGGAAACCCATCAAACCCATTCGGATATGTTATCTTATATGGAAAATCAAATTATAATGATACTTCATGTACTTAGAGAGTTGAAAAATTCCTAGGACACAACAATGTATTTTACACATGACTATGATTTTACTTCAGACATAGAAATTGAAAAAGAAAAATATAGATTATGGATAGCTACAAATTATTAATTTTAAGTCTCTATAACTATTATTAAAATTTATTTGTAATTTCCATATCTATGCATCATGATACATAATGCAGGGTGTCCATAAAGTTTCTTTACAATTACAAATATAAAGTCTGTACAACATGTAAATAGACTTAGATACGGACACTCTGTATATTTGATTATTGACTATTAATTAAAGGCAGAATCAGATCTATAGGGGGTGACAAAATTACAAGCAACATGCATAATTGACCTACAAATCTATTCCTTACAATATCAAATACAATATCTCCCAAAAGATTCACAATATGTTATAAATTGGTGAAGTTATTAATGATTAAAAGTGCAAAAATGGGTGAAAAATGTTTAAATTCTCCCAAATAATAAGAATGGTAACCATTCTTATAGAAAAATAATACATTATTGTAAAAATCTTTTGTTTTCCTTGAATAAAGTATGCACTTTTGTGATTTTTATAAAATAGACATGACAAGGAATGATATGAGCCAAAAATATTCTAAAACTGAAACAATTTTGTGTTTAGCCTGCTCGCTATCTCTGATTCTCTCTTTAAACTATGATATTTGAAAACAATATACAGGAGAGGTACTTCCTAAAACACTTGATGGAGACAAAGCAGTGAATTGTAAAAAGACAGTCACGTATCACTTAGATCACTGCCAATGAACTTATTGCTGATACATTTATTGCAGAACATCAAGAAGATTGTCACATATGCCAAGACAAAGGGACATCTTGGGTTCCCAAAGCTGAGGTAGTTGTTTTATTTTATCATCTGCATATTTTATCGTTCTGCATAAACACATATTACATTGTATATCAGTGTATATATCCAGACATTTTGTAGCCTTGAATTGACCTAGATCTTGACCATAATGAGTTGGACAGGCCAGAGACATATAAAACATGAAATGTTTTATATGTCTCTGGACAGGCATAATATTGAACTAAATTTCCCAGTTTTATTCAAACCCAATGGTTTTGCCTTGATACAGTACTATGGGTTTTCATGAGAAAGCTTTGTAGAAATCAATAGATGTTTCCGATAAATCGTGCCATCTTTTGATCCATTAGGAAAACTATAACTTATTGGCTAGATTGTACAACCTATGACATCATCAATCTGGCCAATATATTGTGGTTTCCTTGATGGATCAAAAGATGGCACTATTTATCGGAAACGTCTATTGTTGACAGGTGGATGAGGCGTAAGTAAAGATAAAATAATATTGTTCAGATATTTGATATAAGAGAAAGCTCAACCTTATAATAACAAGCTAAGTGGTCCAGTGGTTAAGATTGTAATTGTGTAATAGTGCCCTTTGTGACACATATTCTTTTTTTATTTATCCACAAGTATAAAACATGTACAATAACAATACAATTAATTGCGTATAAAGCAGGATTCACAAAAATTGATTTACAAAAATATTGATAAAGATAAATGTTTTTTTCTCAAAAGTTCTTGTTGATGATGTTTTTAATCCATTCAGACAAATTGTGCTCTTTGTGACACATATGATATCATTGAATTGTAAAACATTCACAAGTTTCTTGATTTTATTTCAGTTATTCTGTGTGGAAGCATATTGCTTGTAACAAACTCCAGCTATCTGATGATATAGCATGGCTGTAAGTACATCTTTTCATGTCACCACCAAAAGTAATGACATATTGTTACAGTCTCCAACTTTTTTGTGGACAGTGCTCGGTGTTTGGAGTTTGTGACAGCATCTGTAACATATGCCACAAGTGGTGACATATTGTTATCGTCTCCATTTTTGTGTATGGTGTACGGTTTTGGTGTTTGGCAGTTGGTGTCTGTAACAAATGGCAGGTGCCATGTTACATCTTATTGTAATTTGATATATATGCCATGAAGTATCACTCAATATCACTCTTCACAGAATTTGTTCAGATTTTAAATTATTACGCAGAATGCTGAATGACCTGACTGGGAAAACATGCATTATTCATTGGGTTTTACCACTTCATATCTAGCTGTAATATTATTGTTTGTGTTAAATTATGTCAAAGTTTCTTTTTTATTTTAGATCTGGAGTCTGTTCTGAAAATTGTCTGTATTGTCTTTCAGATATTTCCAAACATGTGACCTAGTCTCAAATTCATCGTCAGAACAGTGGCCTGACTGGGATAAACAATACTCCAAAGCTTCAAATCCAGTAGAAATAGGTAACAACATTTAAAAGCAATAAGGCAACAGGTTATTTTCACCAGGTGTTTTCACAAAATCGCCTGTTGTTTTAAGGGATTTTTCAACTTTTCCATGTTAAATCTATGATTTCCATTAATTTCGCCTGTTGTTTTCATTTATTTACCCTGTTGTGAGAAATTCTAGTGAAACCCCTGAAGAGTCACTGAATATTCACTTTTTGGGGACCATGTCAATACAGTCAAACCCGTAAATACGAACACCTCTCTAATCTGAACATCTCTCAATGTGAACACTTTTTTGGTCCCAGTTTTTAATCTGCTGTAGAATTCAATATAGAACACCTGCCAACGTGAACACTACTGGCTACTATTAGAAACCTAGTTTCATTTCTTGTAGAGCTTGAATGATATATCAATGTTATTATGGCATCCGTATACTCATCCTCCGATCACAGGGCTTCAAAATCCAGAATATATTCTTCCTTTTTACTCCCTGCGATAAGCAGTTAGCATTTCCCCGATTAAGAACTCGTAATCTGATTGGCTGTCGCAACACTGCAACAGAAATCATGTATAAGTCATTGCGCATAATTAGATCATGTGATTCAGTTTTATCGGGCACTTCCAAATTGATTATAGCAGGGGGAAAGAAGGAGGTACGGATTCTGGACACCTGCTTTGGAGGATGCCATATACTTTTCTGAGAGTAATTGCTTTTTTAAATCAGGATGAATCCATGTATTTGACTTTATTTGTAGAGCAATGTCGCAATGGTGTTACCGTGGATACACTGAAGTTTGTGTTGTTTCTGTTCATACAACATCTACACAAGATCTCCCTCAGATCATCCCTAGTGGTGGAGGAGTATCCTTTAGACAATAATAGTGACTGGGGGGTGAAGGTTGGGGAAAGATCAGAATATGAGTAATGGTAAAAGAATATGGCAGTAGAAATGGGAGTGGGGTAAGATCAGTGAATGGCTAAAGTCCATTTTACTAGTCTATTTACCTCAGTAAAACCTATAATAAGAAATCAAAAGACCATTGCGCAATTGTATATGGAAAATTGTATTTAAAGTGTACATAAATCACATTTATAATTTTTTGCTTATTTAGTTTTTTGTGCAATAAGCCTATGGCCTTTTGTAATCGAGAAGTTTCAGCCATGTTAATTTTTTCAAATATAACATGGTTTTGAAGCATCAAAATATAAGGAGGCCACACATTTTGTTAGCCAAACCAGATAGCGCTAATAAGCAATCCAAGATATACAATTGTCATTTATATACAATCTAAAGATAATTTTCCATATATTATTGCACAATGGTCTTTTAATTTCTTATTTTCTAGGTTTTACTGAGGTCAATAGACTAGTGAAGTGGACCAAAGAGTAGGATTGGGGGAGGTAGATCTTTGGACAATAGGGGTGGGGAGGTCAGATAATCCATTATAATGGAGCTGGAGAAGAATCGAGCTGTAGATGATAGGGTAGGGATGAGGGGTAGGAGACTGAATATACTGGTGTATAAATAATGAATGGTTTAACAAAGTAAGTTTTTATTCTGTCTCCTACACTTTTGCATTAAACCCTTGTATCCCGCCATTCTATCTCAGAAAAATATAAGAGAACTAGAAATTTGTAGTGGAGAGCAGAGATTATTGGCTCACACAGTGAGCCTATGGGATTGACCAGGCGTCCGTCCGTCCGTTGGTCCGTCTGTCCGTCCGTCCGTTGGTCCGTCCGTCCGTTGGTCCGTCCGAAGAAAGATAAGTAACATCGCAATCAAATCAAGACAAAGAAAGAAGAAAATGAATAAAGAAACCAATGCAGCAACAACAAATGACGTCCGTCCGTCCGTCCGTCAACATTGGCTGCACAAATTAAAACTGCTATTCGGATTGAGTCATATCCACATTCATTTTATGCATATCCATAATGCCTATTTGACCTATCATCGTGATTTCCCAAGTTCGCCCGGTTTCCGAGAAATTGCGGATTTTGACGTCAAAAATTCAAATTTTCTGTAAATACTAGACACTTTGTTGAAGTAGAACTTTCAAATAACTTTTAGTAGTTGGTGAATATGCAATCTATGTCCTCTGAAGATTTCAAAGCTCTTGGAATTACGGTTTTTGGTGCTTACTCTATAAAATTTGAAAAAAACTAGGACTTAGTCATTTTCAGGAAACTTTCTCATGTATAAAGTCAATGGCAGGTTTTGTGATTGACAAGATTCTTAAAGTTTGCCTTATACTTGATCATTTCCTGCAATAAATTACATCATTAATAGATTTAAGCATTCCCTACATATTTCTCAATATATGTCAGCATCAAATTTTTACCGTTTTTGAAATATTTGACGTCAAAAAACAGTAAAAATAAGTTATTTTTCAACTTGCTTCAATTTGACCAAATTTTTTTTTGAAAATCATCTACAAGTTGCCAGGAGTTCAAATCTGACATTAGTTTTAGGATTTCACCTTTACTTGACCTTCAGTGACCTTCGAAAGGTCAAAAAAGTTGATTTTTCAAATTGATTTTTGGATGTAAATTTTGGTCAGCTTAATCACAAAAGACCTTACTGAGCTCTGAATAAGTAAAACTTTCAAGGTCAAAGGTCATCAAACTAGGTCACATAACTATGCTATCTAAGTTTCTCAAAGTTCGAGACTACAAATCCAAATCAATATTTTTGTTTGAAAGTCAGGATATAAATTCCTCTGAAGGTTCCAAACTGTGTGAGCATAGGACCGTGGGTCCTTCATTATTTATTTTGAGAGCAGAGATTTATACATGCAAGACTACTTTTTTCAATACAATTTTATTGTGCCACTCGTACAGATAGAAATGTCCTTAACAGTTGTTAGATGGCCTATGAGGGCCAAGTCCCCAGATTTGGAGGGTAGGAACACTCCCACTGGATCAAAGGTAAACCACACAACAAATTGCATAATTTGCCGCATGGGTTTCTCTTAGAGCCACGAGGCAATGTTTTATTGAAGTGGATAGAGATTGTTAAATGGTGGAAGCAGTATGTTAAAAGCATTCCTTTGTTTCTCCTGCAATCTTTAATCTAATATCTGAAAAAGGAATTGATTCTGATCAAATATGGAATTTATTGAAGATCCAGAAATGTCCTGATTTCATTAATTTAAAATCTTAAATCAAAATTATTGCTAAATAAGTTAAAATTCAAACAAAATCACATGTAATAATTAAAACTCATTTCAGCTAATAGACACATATTTTAGTTCTGTTTGTTATTTTAGACAATGGATGAACACAGTCATTTAACATTTGTGATGAACCACTTGAATGATATAATGGAGCTACTGGTTGAACCAGGTATGACACTAAACTCTCTATGCTAATCAGATATTTGGGACTATAAAATTTGGGACTATTCCTAAAACATAATTTTATTGATCAATAACATTGCTGATTGACCCTCCCAAAATTAATTGGACTTTACCTTTTTTAAATTCACTTTCTTTTAAAATTTGCTGTACATGTTTTGACAAAACAGGGTGACTTTTTTGATCTTTTACTTCAGTTTGTAGCTTTTATATCCATGTTTGCTTTCCAGGAATGAGCAGTAGCTATGACAATAAGGATAAACAAAGATTTTCATCTGGGAATTTACCAGGAGGTGGTGCCATCTATCATAAAATGACTTCTGCACAGTTGCACACAGCTTAATACTGTTTTAAAATTATTGCATTCATGTTAACTTGTCTTTGCATTTCTATATAACCCATAGTTCATTTAAATTCATGACACTGTCTCATGTAATCCAAATTTTAATTTCTAAAAAGGATTGAGATATCTGATGGAGTATCGAAATTATTGAAGATTTAAGATACTGAAAAGTCCAAATGAATTCGAGTTGAAAAGGGGCGTCCTCTTTCCAAAAAATTTGATTCTTTAAGAAAATGAAGTTAGAACTGTTGAACCTTTTAGAAAATGGTCATGCCATGGAATGATTAGAGTATACTTCAGTCATTATTTTCTAGTAAGACAATCTCGCTGATAACATAAAGTGATAGGGCAAAATCTCTTGAAATCTCCTTAGCACAAAAATATGACTACTCCATATGTACATCTTTAATTGTATCAAGAAAAAAGACATAGTCACTTTTGAAATATATAGAAATGCAAAAAGTTTGTATTTTAGGTTTAATGCACCATACACACTATACAGAACAATATGTGCCATATGGGCTAAATATGTTGACTTTTATTCTAGGTTTTGACACGGATGTAATTATCTAATATTAAGTCTAATTTGTTTGCTCTTTGAAATAACAATAGTTAGTTCAGTAAAACCTGCATATCTAAACTCCTATCTAATTCGTAAACCTCTCAATGTGCCCTTTTGGTTCAAATTTCTTACCTCCCATAGATATACATTCCAAGAAACCTTCACTGGTCATAGTGGTGTTTGGAGTAGACAGGTTTTACTGTACTATATACATTACATATAACTGATATATTGAAATTCTGGTTAAAATGCACCAGTGTCCTGATGAATTTGTGCACTGCATATTAAATTCTCCATATGCATCTAACAAAATTGACAAAGACGTACTCCAGCACGACGTATTATTTGACACATTTTTCTTCATTCTATTTTCATAATTAAAAAATGCAATACAGTATAATTGCCAACTTTGCACAACACCATCAGCATGGAATTCACAAAACATGATAACAATAGATGAAGTTGATATGAATATTACCACACCATTATTGTACAGAAAAGAGTACAAAAGAAAAACAAAAAACGATTACTGGTATACTGCCACTGTACAAATTAGCAATAAATACAATGGTAAACTCATGTTTATAAACATATTACAATGTTAATTCTAGTTAACACACGAGGCGTCATTCTGGCTATAGAATTGCTTTGATGATTGAAGAATTTTTGAGGATTCAATTTTCATCAGAAAAAAAATTACGATCAATACATTATATACATATTATTTTGTTTTTCCTTGAGGGAGACAATTGATAATAGCCTAGATATGATATATGCCATTTATGACCTTGTACAATAGTCATAGTGTATTTTATAGTGTATAGATTATTTATGTTTAATGATATTGATTTTCTGATGTTTAGATTCATATGGTGGTTCCGCATCAGTGAATGATCTCAACTTGAGCATAGAAGCTATGGAGGCTTTGGGTTTTATAATATCTGGCTCTATAGATAGGAACAGGTAAATATAAGAATACTTGTGTATGTGGTTACCTTCAAATGTAAACTATGTTCACTTTGGCTTGTAAGTTTAACTATGGCTGGTTATCCCAGATAGGGAACACGTCCATCCGTCTGTCCGTCCGTCCATCCATCCATCCATCCATACATACTTGTGAATGTGAGAACCTTCAAATGTAAACTCTGTTCACTATGGCTTGTAAGTTTAACTATGGCTGGTTATCCCATATAGGGAATGCCTCCATCCGTCTGTCCGTCCGTCCATCCGTCCATCCATACATACTCAACTCGTGTATGTGAGAACCTTCAAATGTAAACTCTGTTCACTATGGCTTGTAAGGATCACTACAGCTGTTTGTGTTAGGATTTAAGGAGAAGCACCAAGTAATACAGAAAAACCTGCATATTCAAACACCTCTCTAATCTGAACATCTCTCAATGTGAACACTTTTTTGTTGGTTACAATCTCCCATTCATTCAGATATTATGAAAACACAAGCTAATCGAAACAATTTTGACCAGTACTAGTGGCGTTCAGATGTTACAGGTTCTACTAGATAGTTTCTGAATTTGAGCTAATATATTTACTTTTTATTTTTAGGAGTAGCAAGCCCTTACATGAGATTGCTCTGCTGCAACAAATACAGGCCAAATCTGGATACTCCAAGGTAATTTTATATCTATCATAGACAGTACATTCCGAGGTGTAGCCGGGATCTAGAATTAGGTGAGGCAAAAATAAGGGTGAGGCAAATTTAGAATATAAAGCAAGCCAGTAGTTTGAAAATAAATGAATTCTTGTCGATTCAGAGCTTCAAACTGAGACTAACATAACATTTTTTTTATGATGGTCTCAGCTTCAACATATTAAAATCTTATGTTGTTGTGTCTTCAGATCTCACGAACATTCTCATTTCGAACACTGCAATCCTGGCTCCGCTCTACCATTGGACAGAACCCTTTTGGAATCTCCAGTTGTATTGCCAGCGGGCGGAGGTTGTCTTGGCCAATGGCAGGTCAGTATTTATTACTCCTTTCATAATAAATTTAATTATGAGTGGAACATTTTTAGGGCTTATGTTTTAAATGACTTGTAGGCACGTAGCCAACTTTTGCCAAGGTGGGGGATCACTTTTTCAAAAAAACAAGGGGAGTTCACATTTGATAACTATGGTCCAAAAATGGCCAATATCACATTTTTCGCCAGGGGGTTTGCTCGAGGTAGATTATCTAGATTAACCTTACTGGTAGTTTGAAATAATAACCCAGAGATTCTTGTTAGGCTTGCTCATGCAGATATCAAATTATATCATATATCACTCATAAATCAAAGAATACCCTCAATATATTCATGGGCATTCTGGTATGCCAGAGCCCCTCTTATCTGCCGTTTGCGAGAGACTTTGGAAGGATAAAGACAAAGAGGGCGCAGCTATCGCAATGATTCATGAGTATCGTTGAATGTTTAACTGTTTATGTTGTAGCTGAAGAGAAAGAAGGGAGAGCTTCTGAAGTGAGTCATACAAAACACAGAGGGAAGATTGCCACAAATGCACACTTTGTTCCAAGACATCAAATTAAAGCGTATGTTATGTATTAGAATAATACTACCAGGCCTGTAGCAGCTAGCCAGGGGTTAAGGATTCTTTCAAAATTATGCAGTTTTCAACATTTTGAGAATTTTGGGCAAAATTATCAAGAACCTTTCTTCGAATTGTTTAAAAACTGAACTGGCCTGGCAGACGCGGGTACAAGCCTGACTTCTGAAGTCGATTGAAATTATGATGGGATATATTCTAACGATGCTGTATATAATATACAACATTAACTTTTTACTTGCTTAATAGAACCCTTTTATAAAATAAAATAAAGCATCTGAGGGGCCATGTCATTCAATATACCATTTTTTGCAAAATACAATCTCTGAAGATGAAAAAATGGATGCATTAAAAGCACCTTGTCTATTGCAAATACCGGTAGTTTAAGCAAGAATGCTTGTTTGTGTGAATATACTGACTTGAAGATTATCATTCCAGGAACAAGTTGATCATCATGTCTCAAGTCTGCAAAGAAACAATAGCTAGAGTAGGTTGATACTTGCCTGATTTATAAGACATTTTGAATACATCTTATAAATTGATATTCTCTTAAATTTCGAGTGTTGATGTCATTTGAATCAATTTGAAATGTTATAGCATGTGTATCTAATCTATGCTATCCTTTACCTTAAGCTGGGTCATTCATTTATAAAGGCAGAAGGGAATGTCCTAGAAAGCAGTGATGTCCATGATTGTTATGCCATCGCTCTCATTTGCACTGTTTGACTATAGTGCTTTCTACTTGGTTAAATTTTACATATTTCACATCTATGTTTGTAGAGTTCGGGTACATTGGAAAATGCCAGTGTGAAAATACATAGATGTCACTACTCATTCATGTACCTACTTGCACCTATTAGGTAAGTTTTTCATTTAAGTGTAATGTCAATGTTGTCTTGTCTTGTACTGATGGGTGTGGGGTGTTTGTGCCAGTGTGAAAATACATACACATGTAGATGTCACTATTCATTCATGTACCTACTTGCATCTATTAGGTAAGAGGTAAGTTTTTCATCGCATTTAAGTGTCGTTGTTGTCTTGTCTTGTACTGATGGTTGTGTGTTTGGGCGTAAAATCTTGTCATGAAAATTTATGGAAAACTGCTTGCCGCTTATTCATTCAGCTTTTATTCAATGTGAATAAGTGCTTAAAATGTTCAATTAATTACTGGTCTGATATAGGGTATGGTCTATACAGTAAAACCTGTATATCTGAACACCTCTCAATATGAACACTTTCTCCCAATCCAATTTTTTAATCTCCCGTAAACTTTTGTGTGATCAAGAAATCTTGAAATGTGAATGCATGCTATTCTAAACTTTTGGCAAGCCTCAGTAGTGTTTGGAATAGACAGATTTTACTGTATTTGTATATTATTGTATTAGTTTATTATTGTATTTGTATATTATTCCAGGAGTGTAAGCATAGAGAAGTGCAGACATTCAACATTTATATTTGGCCCTATAGAAATAGCATTGAACATTTCCCAGTGTGAACACATCACCATTATAGCTCCTACCAGGAATATAAGAATTACGTAAGTGCAATATATATTTGGCCATATTGAAATAGCATTGAACATCTCCCAGTGTGAACACATCACCATCATAGCTCCTACCAGGAATATAAGAATTACGTAAGTGCAATATATATTTGGCCCTATAGAAATAGCATTGAACATTTCCCAGTGTGAACACATCACCATCATAGCTCCTACCAGAAATATAAGAATTACGTAAGTGCAATATATATTTGGCCCTATTGAAATAGCATTGAACATATCCCAGTGTGAACACATCACCATCATAGCTCCTACCAGGAATATAAGAATTACGTAAGTGCAATATATATTTGGCCATATTGAAATAGCATTAAACATTTCCCAGTGTGAACACATCACCATTATAGCTCCTACCAGAAATATAAGAATTACGTAAGTGCAATATATATTTGGCCCTATTGAAATAGCATTGAACATTTCCCAGTGTGAACACATCACCATTATAGCTCCTACCAGGAATATAAGAATTACGTAAGTGCAATATATATTTGGCCCTATTGAAATAGCATTGAACATTTCCCAGTGTGAACACATCACCATTATAGCTCCTACCAGGAATATAAGAATTACGTAAGTATAATACATATTTGGCCCTATAGAAATAGCATTGAACATTTCCCAGTGTGAACACATCACCATCATAGCTCCTACCAGGAATATAAGAATTACGTAAGTATAATACATATTTGGCCCTATAGAAATAGCATTGAACATTTCCCAGTGTGAACACATCACCATTATAGCGCCAACCAGGAATATAAGAATTACGTAAGTGCAATATATATTTGGCCCTATTGAAATAGCATTGAACATATCCCAGTGTGAACACATCACCATCATAGCTCCTACCAGGAATATAAGAATAACGTAAGTGCAATATAAATTTGGCCCTATTGAAATAGCATTGAACATGTCCCAGTGTGAACACATCACCGTCATAGCTCCTACCAGAAATATAAGAATTACGTAAGTGCAATATATATTTGGCCCTATAGAAATAGCATTGAACATTTCCCAGTGTGAACACATCACCATTATAGCGCCAACCAGAAATATAAGAATTACGTAAGTGCAATATATATTTGGCCATATTGAAATAGCATTGAACATCTCCCAGTGTGAACACATCACCATTATAGCTCCTACCAGGAATATAAGAATTACGTAAGTGCAATATATATTTGGCCATATTGAAATAGCATTAAACATTTCCCAGTGTGAACACATCACCATTATAGCTCCTACCAGAAATATAAGAATTACGTAAGTGCAATATATATTTGGCCATATTGAAATAGCATTGAACATTTCCCAGTGTGAACACATCACCATTATAGCTCCTACCAGGAATATAAGAATTACGTAAGTGCAATATATATTTGGCCCTATTGAAATAGCATTGAACATATCCCAGTGTGAACACATCACCATCATAGCTCCTACCAGGAATATAAGAATTACGTAAGTGCAATATATATTTGGCCCTATAGAAATAGCATTGAACATCTCCCAGTGTGAGCACATCACCATTATAGCTCCTACCAGAAATATAAGAATTACGTAAGTGCAATATATATTTGGCCCTATAGAAATAGCATTGAACATCTCCCAGTGTGAACACATCACCATTATAGCGCCAACCAGAAATATAAGAATTACGTAAGTGCAATATATATTTGGCCATATTGAAATAGCATTGAACATCTCCCAGTGTGAACACATCACCATTATAGCGCCAACCAGAAATATAAGAATTACGTAAGTGCAATATATATTTGGCCCTATTGAAATAGCATTGAACATTTCCCAGTGTGAACACATCACCATTATAGCTCCTACCAGGAATATAAGAATTACGTAAGTACAATATATATTTGGCCCTATTGAAATAGCATTGAACATCTCCCAGTGTGAACACATCACCATCATAGCTCCTACCAGGAATATAAGAATTACGTAAGTGCAATATATATTTGGCCCTATAGAAATAGCATTGAACATCTCCCAGTGTGAACACATCACCATTATAGCTGCTACCAGGAATATAAGAATTACGTAAGTGCAATATATATTTGGCCCTATTGAAATAGCATTGAACATTTCCCAGTGTGAACACATCACCATTATAGCTCCTACCAGAAATATAAGAATTACGTAAGAGCAATATGTATTTGGCCCTATAGAAATAGCATTGAACATCTCCCAGTGTGAACACATCACCATTATAGCTCCTACCAGAAATATAAGAATTACGTAAGTGCAATATATATTTGGCCCTATAGAAATAGCATTGAACATCTCCCAGTGTGAACACATCACCATTATAGCGCCAACCAGAAATATAAGAATTACGTAAGTACAATATATATTTGGCCCTATAGAAATAGCATTGAACATCTCCCAGTGTGAACACATCACCATTATAGCTCCTACCAGGAATATAAGAATTACGTAAGTGCAATATATATTTGGCCCTATAGAAATAGCATTGAACATTTCCCAGTGTGAACACATCACCATTATAGCTCCTACCAGGAATACATGTATCTTAAAGTGGTTCAATATTTGTTTATCATCCTGGAGTAAAAATTTGTTGCCATAAGTAAGTGAATTGCTCTACTGATTTAAAAGTTGTACAATAGAGTCATCCAGCAGAGAATCACTAATATGATGGATAATAATTAGCCGCTTGTTGAGATGTCAATAAAATGTTTAGTGCATGTTATAACCATGTTGAAGGAGCTTAAAGTATGAACCAGAATTTTTTATTATTTCAGGGGGTCCACTCTAGTCACGCTGTATCTTTTAACTCCAACGAGGCCTGTTATTCTCGGTGGTAACGACAGCATCTTATTGGCTCCCTATCATACCTTTTATGGTCATTTAGAGGACCATCTCACCAAAGCATCTCTAAGCGCTTCCCCTAACATGTGGGACCAGCCATTATGTATAGGTAAGGTACAAATTTACTGGTCAACAAAAGTCTCCTTAATCAAACATAAAAATGGTATGAAGTTGTTGTCATATTGGCGCCTGTTAGGTACAGGGTAATCCAAAAAAGGTAACCAAAATAAATGTTGATAACTTGGTCAGTCAGCATGGTTTGAGGTCATCATTGGCAAATTAATACCTTGTTCAATGTTCTATCATCCTATAAAGTTTTGAAATATGACTTTAATCCCATGCTGGATGACTGAATATTAGCATTTGTTTGGGTTACCTAATTACCGTACGATCAATCTACTGTGACAATTTTAATGTTGGTGGTCGTTAAAAAACACAGGTAAATTAAAGAGGCTCTATACCATAGGATAGCACAATCAAGACCCATCTGGACCTTTTTGCATATTGAGCTTAACCACATATTCACCCATCTACTTACCAAAGAAGAAGTCTCAAAACCCCTGCTTTCAGTATTAATTTTGCGATTGTGCTGACCGATCTAATTATTTTCACGGAAATTAATTCAATCTGAAGTTTAAATATACCGGGAAAATCCCCATGTTATCTGATTTGTCGTTGAATTTGTTTATCATGAACCTGATTGGCTAGTTGGTTCAAGGCGCGTTTGGGCGCTTGTGTGTCTCAACGGGGATTCCCCTCGCTAGCCGAGGAATCGATTGTGTTTAATTCTGGAGGTTGGTTGTCTTGTTGATTATTTCAATATTTCGGAAATGAAATACCCATAAGTTATTCTCAAGATATATCCATGGTATGTGAGATATTATATAAGCAATAACAAAGGGACATCATTGATTACCTGGTCGAGAAACCTATGGTATAATGCATCTTTAAGTGTTTAACTTGATGGGCCATACTTCATAAATAAACAGATATATTTCTAAGTCAGTGAAATATGTTTCAGGTCCCGATCACCAGAGGGAACTTCCTGTATGGGAGTTGATGTCTCCGCGTGATTTCTACATTTTCAACATCCCATTTAAGACTGAAGGCAGCACAAAGGTATAGTCAGCAATTGTCTGGGTTATTTTATTACAATACTGTGTATAATATTATAATATAAACATGGGACATTCATCATGTTTTGCTAAAAATTGCTCTGACTTTTGAACTATTGCTGCAATTTTCAGGAACTTGTGTATAAACTGTATATTAATACATGCGAGCAAAGGATGTGTCTGGGTATATGCCCTTTTGGTCCCTCAGTCAGATGTATGTGAAATATGGTTTTTATTACTGTCCTAGTTATATTTGATAAGTATATTTACTTTTTCATGAGTTTTGATGCATAATTAGCCCCCTGCTGAGAGTCAGAATAAGTAGCCTAACAAACAAAAAATAGTCATTATCATAGAAAAAAAAACACCAATGGCAACATGTATGACATACAAAGAAGAAATAACTTAAGACCCATGAAGAATTAAAAAGAAAATCATATTTTTGAAATATATTTAAGGATTAAAATTTTTTTCAAATTTTTGAATTTCCCGCAAGTTTAATTTGAAGGGGGAAAAACAAGATGGCTGCCATTTGATGTAATAAATATCAGAAAAAGCCCAAAAAGTTGCTTCACTTTTAGTTTTCACAATGAGCACAGTTTTCGGTTTGGTTTTTTTGACTGAATCTGACTCTTCATCACCAGGGTCATGTATAGGGATTATAAAATTGAAACCAAACGTTGTGCTCAGCATGAATTTGACTGGAATATGTGTAACTTCACCAACACAATTGAAGTCTCAAAATTGGATGCTCAGTAACTTTGAGTGACTATAATCCCTTGATTACCCAGATAAACAAAAATTCACTTATCCAGAAATACCATTCAATGTCTATACAAAGAAAATAAGCAATGTTTTGGAGGATATGTTTCAAACTTTTTGTATAAATAATTCATTTAATATTTGCCATTGTTTTTTTTCAATTCTGACAAAGTGATATGCACTGTCTTTGATGCCAATATTCTTCATCAATTGTGATACAAATTGATATTTAGTAATCTCAGAAGAAGGATAAGATATTGAAGTTTAATAATATGTGTGATTGAGTTGGTTTTTCAGACATTACAATTTTCAATATTTTCTAAGTCGATACCCAGACTCATTCCCAGACTCATCCTTTCAGAAACTCGAGTTTATGAATTTGTGTATACATATATTGTTACAATTTGACATATTTTGTAGTCTATACCAGGGACTCTACCACCAAAGTACCAGAAGGCAATCTCACAAAGGGAGGAACAGATAGACTCATGGCAGAAGATGGTCAAAGAAGCAGGGCTAAAACGAGACCAAAAGAAACAATTTCAATCATTGGTTGAGACCAGGTTTCAGGTGAGAAATCCCACCTAGTAAAGTATGTCCATCCGTCCGTCAGTCCGTCTATCCGTCCGTCCGTCTGTTCGTCCACAGTGGTTTGATAAAGCACATTAGTGAGCCACATGGCTAAGAATAAAATAAAGAATAAAAAAGAAGAAAGATATTCTCAAGCTAACAATACAATCAGCAACTTTGAGGTGTCCGTCCATATGCCTCACTCTGAATGTGTGTATTGCGAGCAAAGAGCATGTAATATTTTCATGGCATGCTAGGCCATTTCCGATCAATTCACCAGGCTCAATGTTAAAGAACCCAAAAATTGTAAACCAATCAAAACAAACTCTCCCATTACAGTTCTTATATGTACAAAATAACTATAGCAGTTGATAATATCTATTAGGGTACATAATCATATCTCATATTCAGAATTATCCTTTGGTATGTTGCAGGAGTGGTTGGCAGAGAGTGGACACAAACGTGAGATAGATGGCCTCGTTGTGCCTGTGAGAACGAAACAGAAATGAATGACATTTATTTTGGAACATCAACAACAAACCATGGGGCATATTCCAATCCATATTCATGCACATTTCACCATTCTGAGCACTTTTTAAGTAGTTTTGGCTAATTTTGGACCAAAATTGTCAAAAGTGAACCCCCCTGGAATTTTCAAAAAGTGAACCCCCTTGGAAAAATCTGGCTTCGGGCTTACTGCATAACTAGTAAATGCATAATACATCTACATGAACCAAATATAAATGACTGACAATTTTTTCATGCTGGTGCTACCGAAATAGTAAATACAGAAGAGAATATTGTGCTGATAAGATATATATGAAAAATACAGTGAATTCCTGACAAATACATGTGCACGGAGAGTAGACATACAGGAATATCTGTGTTTTTTATTTCACATGGGAGTTCCTCCACTTACTTTATACAGAGGTTCATTTTGCAAAAAGTTAATGGGTTATGGGACTTTGAAGTGTTTCACTTATTGAGGAGTTCTATTTTATAGGATTTACTGTACTGGTATCAGTAAGCATGGGATATTTCTTTAATATACTAGTACTCTGTATACTCTTTTAATTAGTTGGAAAGAAAGGAGAGATTAACATTTTTTTTAAAAGTAGGTGTTGCCAATAGTTTTCTAATCACAATTTCTGGCAATGTCAGACTTGGTGTCAGACTAGTCTTGGTGGTATGTCTTTAATATTTATTCTATATAGCTTACATGTATCCAATTTTGTTGTGAATCTTATAAGTGTAAGTGTAAGTTTTCCAATTTTGTACATTTTTTATCATTTTACAAATGTGGTCATTATCCTATTAATGTACATTTGTTACAAGTGATGGGTCATACTCCTATTATGAATGTTATTAACAAAAATGATGTGTCTTATTCCAATTGATGTACAATTGTAACAAATGAATGGTCACGAACGGTCATATTTTCATTGATGTACATTTGAGTAACAAATGAGTGGTCATATTTTCTTTTACAATTTGCAAGACATTCAATGCTGAGGAGCATTGCTTTGATGATCTCTATACATATAGGATGTATGCGTTTCTGTTTACAGTAAAAATGTACATTTGAGTAACAAATGAATGGTCTATTTTCATTGATGTACAATTGAGTAACAATGAATTGTCATATTTTCATTGATGTACATTTGAGTAACCAATGAGTGGTCATATTTTCATTGATATACATTTGACTAACACACAAATGGTCCTGTTTTCATTAATGTACATTTGAGTAACAAATGAATGATCTATTTTCATTGATGTACATTTGAGTAACAATGAATTGTCATATTTTCATTGATGTACATTTGAGTAGCAATGAATGTTCATATTTTCATTGATGTAACAAATGTTCTCATTAATGTACATTTGAGTAACAATGACCAGTATTAGTGCTGGTGTAACCATAACTATTGCCAAAACCATACTTTGCAATATCACTGGCAATACTTGCACAATGATCTTGCTGTGTAAAACATGCATGCAGTGTGCCCATAAGGTAATTTAATCTAATAGTGGGTCATATTTCAATCCATGTACATTTAAGTAAATGCGATGAGTCATATTCCAATCCATGTACATTTGAGTAAAAATGATGGATCATATTCCAATCCATGTACATTTAAGTAAAAATGATGGGTCATATTCCAATCCATGTGCATTTGAGTAAATGATGGGTCATATTCCAATCCATGTACATTTGAGTAAAAATGATGGATCATATTCCAATCCATGCACATTTAAGTAAAAATGATGAGTAATATTCCTATTAATGCATATTAGCAACAAATGATGGGTAGAAAATGTTCATTTTTAATTCATTTCTATGATTTATAGAAAGTACATCTGTAGTATTGTATTCATAAGCATATTGTGATATTAGAAGAGAATTTAAGTTTAAGAAAATAATAAATATAATTTTAAATTATGAAGTCATATTTACTGTTTATCTTGGATATATAAAGGTTAGGTACTGGCAGGATGCAGGATTTATCCATCCAGAAATAAGTGCACAACACTAGGTCTCTTTTTCTCTCAGGAATACACATTTACCTCAAAAAAATCTATAAACCAATACCACTTTCCATCTAGCAAGTCATCTATTGGTTTTCCAAGAATAAATTAGAACTATATACAACAGCATATCCCTGCATAGTGCATACTGTGTATCTTGAACCTTTGAAGGTATGGAATCATTGACAGCCCATACTCAGTAACAAGAAGTTTAGAGCTTCTGCTAGACATACAACCATTCCATCAGAATGCTACTTATTTTGAGTAGTGTAGTTGGAACTTTTCCAATTAAATTTAGATATACCTTAATAAACGAAATATTTCAATGAAACAGTATTGTTTGACACATCATCGTCATATTTATTTACAATACACTAAAATACAATTTACATACAATGACACTAAAATTTACCTCTAAATGTTTTCTTCATACTTAATATGATAGAAAATATATATCTTTGTAGACTCCCTTAGGAGAGAGTTACTTCCAATGCTGTTCGAACTCTCAAATGATCTTAGATCTTTAAAGGGTTCCGATAAGCTTCCTGTATAAAATGAAAATCTCCCTTTTATAAATGTGTGACGATCTATACTGTACCAATGTTATATAAAAATGTTAGAGGTGTTGACACAACGACCTCGAGCCTTTGAACCCTTGAGTATTATTCCGGGATCGAGCCTTTTATACTAAATGGTGAGCAACACCAGAAACGAGCATTCGATTTGCTAAACGATATGCGTCACCCTTTAAATGTTATTCAAGCAACAAGATCACAAAGTGATTAATTTAATAATTAATGAATAGTGTACTGATTTTGTATGTCACCAACCCACTTAGGCTGATTAGTAATGATAAAAATTTCATACTATGACACAATCATAGTGTATTAAAACTCTTAAAATAACATCAATTGGTAACATGATAAAAAGCAAGACATTCAATGCTAAGGAGCAATGCTTTGATGTTCTCTGTACAGAATGTATGTGTTTCTGTTAAAACTAGGCTATGCAAAAGTAAGTAAAAGTCAAGTACTGGAAACACTGATAATAGGAAAAGATTGCTTCCTCTTCCATTATGCAGGGGGGGGGGGAGATCTCCCAAAGTAAAGTGATAGATCCCTATAGGACCATATGGGAATCCAACTGACTTGTCCACCATTTTGAATGTCATGTGATAGATCCATATAAGGCTTGTAGAACCAATGGACCATGAAGGGAAAGCTAAGGGGAGTCTCCTGATTACAAATAATGCCAAAGAATTATGTGTGCAACTCACTTCTTCTGTTCATTATGCATACTAAATTCTAGATACTAGATTGTTATTGCAGTACTATATTAAATTTAAAACATTTTCTCAGCAACAGTGCCTTAAAATGGGCAATCAATAAAAGGGGTAATCCTTAAAAGGGGCAATCTTTAAAAACCCGTTTTGTTTTGCTAGATGCTTTCTTAAAAGATCAATTATTTAAAATATTCTGTTCATTTCGAGTGTGCTGCCATATTTCAACATACCCGACAGGAAGTGATGTCATTGCATCAAATGTGTGGGAGTCAGAAATACGACACACAGTGTTGCTCCCAGGGGGTGGTATTTTTACATTCTAGAATGTAGTCAATGTTCCTCGAAGTTCTGAATTAAAACATTACACTAAAAAATGTCAAATCTAAAACATCACTCTAAAGATCAGAGAGCAGTGAATGTACTTAATATATGTCCTGCGAACAGGCCAATGAACTATATGGTTGTGTGCGTTTTCAACAGTCAATATCTTAAAATAGAATCCTGAAATCTGTTTCTTGTATGCTTATTCCAGGGCCAGAGCAAGGCAGTCTTCATTAATTTATTTGTACAATTTTTAATGTTCATGTACGTTTTATCAAAATTGAATGATCAATTACTCCGACAAATCATTATTTTGCCTTAATCCTATTGGCCCTCTTTGAATGATGTCACATTTCCTATGGATCGTCAACCTCCTCATTTGGTATAGGTGTGGTTGATCGCGGGGGCTCTTGCTTAATACCCATTTGTGATTTGGTGGGATCCTGTACTCCCCCAGATACAAAATTAGGAGCGGTTTTACCTGATGCATTTGCAACCTTCTTCAGGTGAGTCTTACCTGGAAAAATACATACATGAACATCAAGGAATATACAATAACTATCAACATACATGGAATATACAATATATTTGAACATAAAAGATCCTTGAACATACTAGAAATGTACAATTAATAAAATTTATTTGTTTGGGATGTAAATCAATTGATATTAATTCAAGGAGTATGCTATATATATTTTGTAAATTGGTCAGTTTGATTTCAGGTTTTGAATTACATCCTCCCACCATATAGTTACTGTAAAAATCCTAAGGTGGTTTTAACACAGCATGTTGACATACAATGGGTATTTTTTAAGCAAATGAGTTTTTCTAATTTGTATGAAGATGGAAGACAATAATAAAGAAATAAATTAAACTAAAATAAGACTAAAACTGTCTTCCTATCCTGTCTTCCTTGTAACCATAATAAACACATTGGATGGATGAAATGCAAACCACACCACTGACCTGACACAAAATCACTTTATATTTATGATGAATTTCATCTTCAAAACCAACCTTTTTATGGCCTCCATTGATTCAATTTCATTTTCAATTTCTATAGTAAATTGAAGGCAAACATTGGTCTATCAAATACAAAGAAAAAATGTCATAGGAATCTGAGATCCTAAATATGTCTTCTGCACAGTTTTTCACCCAAATTTTTATTTCTAAAGAAAATCAAAATCTATTTTATTCACAAATACCCAAAGAACTCTATTGCTGTCAATGATAACTAGTTCTATATTCTCATTAACTACACTTGTACATAAATACAAAACTAAAACCCTTTGACAGTTTTTTAATCGTGGCTGCAGAAATAACCTACTTTTCACTAATTATTAGGTAAGAATTTTAAAAAATACATTCCTTCATCTTGGTGCATAATGTTTTGAAGAAGGAAATACAAGTTTAGCCAAATCAGACTTGCCAACCTAAAATGAAAAATTTACGGGAGATTTAAAAAAAATTGCGGTACTTTTACGGGAGTTTTTTTCAAAATCCGGTAGTTTTTGCGGGAGTTTTTTGAAAAAAAGCGGGAGTTTTACGGGAGGATTTTGAAAAAAACGGTAGTTCTTACGGGAGATGTTGAAAAAACGGGAGTTTTTACGGGAGATTTTTAAAAAAATGTATTTTTCGCGGTGAGTTTCAAAAAACGTGACTTTTTTACGGAAGATTTCAGAAAAAACGGGAGTTTTTGCGGTAGGTTCTGAAAAAACGGGAGTTTTTACGGTAGGTTTAGAAAAAACGGGAGTTTTTGCGGTAGATTTAAAAAAAACGGGAGTTTTTACGGTCGATTTTTAAAAAAACGGGAGTTTTTACGGTAGATTTCTGAAAAAACGGGAGTTTTTACGGTAGATTTCTGAAAAACTGGAGTTTTTACGGTAGATTCTGACAAAATGGGAGTTTTTACGGTAGATTTCTGAAAAAACGGGAGTTTTTACGGTAGATTCTGAAAAAATGGGAGTTTTTACGGTAGATTTCTGAAAAAACTGGAGTATTTACGGTAGAATTTGAAAAAACGGGAGTTTTATGGTAGATTTCTGAAAAAATGGGAGTTTTTACTATAGATTTTGAAAAAACTGGAGTTTTACGGTAGATTTTGAAAGAACGGGAGTTTTTACGGTAGATTTCGGAAAAAACGGGAGTTCTTACGGTAGGTTTCTGAAAAAACGGGTGTTTTTACGGTAAATTTTGAAAAAAAAACTGAGTTTTTACGGTAGATTTCTGAAAAAACGGGAGTTTTTACTTTAGATTTTGAAAAACGGGAGTTTTTACGGTAGATTTATGAGCATTAAATCCAGCGATTTAATTGGTTGAAATTATTATGACGCATGCGCAGTTAATAAATTAATTAGAACTTATAATCTAAGATAGATGTCACTTACGTTCATTATTTCACAGCAGTCCCTACCAATAATGCGCCTCATATTGCGGGAATATTTTGTTTAGCGCCATATAAAAACAAAATGTATTCTCCCGACAGAAGTATGACAGAATATGAACTGGCCCCCGTTTGTGGACATTTGGTGTGCAAACTTATACCGAACTGATCGCAGAAAAGCAATTTGAATCATGGGAATGAAGTACTTTTAAGTTATTTATGAAAGTATCGATAGTGAACCATGGGAGCCAACCTTCTTGGAGTAAAAGAATGAAGCGTGCCTGCAATAATCAAGGTCACAAATTTGTCAAATTCCTTTTAAATACGGTAGATTTCTACAGCAAAAAAACGGAGATTTTACTGGAGTTATACCAAGAATACGGGAGATTTTACGGGAGTTATACCAGAAAACGGGAGATTTTACGGGAGTTATACCAAGAATACGGGAGATTTTACGGGAGTTACACCAGAATACGGGAGATTTCAGCAAAAATACAGGAGATTTTACGGCCATATTTTTAAAAAAAATTACGGGAGATTTTAGTAGAAATACGGTACGGGAGTTTTTACGGGAGAAAACGGTACGGGAGTTTGGTATTTTTTACGGAAAAACAAAAAATTTACGGGAGATTCCCGTAAAAAAACGGGAGGTTGGCAAGTCTGCAAATACATATTATCCATGCAGAAAACAGGTTTTCAAATAAAGGCTATGTATCTACTTCACACAATTGTTGTTTCAAAACTATGAATACTTCTATTCATGTATCATTACAAATAGTATTTCTATCTACTACATTAGGATGATAAGAACATGAACTCAGAAAACAGGTTTTCAAATAAAGGCTATGTAATCTACTCCACACAATTGTTGTTTCAAAACTATGAATACTTCTATTTATGTATCATTACAAATAGTATTTCTATCTACTACATTAGGATGATAAGAACATGAACTCAACACTTGTGTTGTCGCAATATTTGCCATATTTGTACATCAAGGCATCAGCAATTTTAAAGAAAAAGAAAATGAGAATAAAATAATTATTAAGTTCATGATAAGAAGCCGAACAACCTGGTTTTGCGAACATGGTAACAAATAAGTACTACCTCCAGTAGCTGTTTGCAAATTCAAATGTAAAAATTGGAGGTCATTGGTCCATTTAGACCAGCTTGACATCTTTAAATTGAAAACATTGCAGAGAACATTGGGGAATTGGGTTGTTTACATTGGGTAAGACATTAGCGTGATAGGAAAAGGTGATTTTTAGCAGATGTAATTTCTTTTAAACATTTTGTTTCAGACATTGATGCATCGCCAGAATCACTTTTGGTGATGTACATTGATATGAATCGATAAATCATGACAACACTTCTCAACATTCATAGAGCAAAACCCAGAAGAAAATGTTCCTGAACTCGATTTATTGCAAGGGTAGTCTATAGTCAGATACATGTGAATGGTCACCATATTAAAAATCATCATGTTATGCTTAAGCATTTTCCAGATTCCTAATTGAAATGAAAAAACCAATGCTCTTGACATCTAAAACAGTTGTAGATATCATATGGAACATGTGTAAGCATACAATACAACTAAATAATATATTTTTTATCTTCTGATGTACACTTGTATTTTTTATTTGACAATTGTTAAATCTAAGCATATGTACAGTTGGCAAGATAACAATACATTCTACTCCATTGGACTACTGGGCATTGCACATTCAATTCCACAAATGTCTGTCAAAGAATGGTTAAATCGTTCAATGTATGCGTTTAATACATCTCTCTGTTTTTTCGTGTATGGATCAAATCTCTCTGTGACATTCCTGTGATGACTGCCTTCAAGGTTACACTGAATACAGTCCAGTAAATCCTCAGTTATCTCAACATTCAAAAAGTCTGCCAATCTGTACAATTCTTTCTTCAGATTGGTTAACAGGTTGTTGTAGTGTATTATCAGGACAGGAACAGTTTTATCCCTGAGTATCTGCAATATGACTGACATATGATTGGACCAGGCTATCCCTCCCTTGGTACACTTGGTGCTGAACTCTGAAAAATCAAATGTAGGTATGAAAAAATGTGTCAAATTAAGTAAAATGTACAATGTTGTAACATTAACTTTATAATAACAATGAATGGTCCTTCTTGAACACACTAATGGCATACAATAATTTGCAAAATATTTGCAACATACATATAATTAAATTCCTCATCCCATTCAACAGTACTATTTAATGGTGTCTTCATTACCTTTCAAAAGAGCCGGTTGGAAGAATCTTGCTTTACTCAGATCTGTTTTATGTCCTGCTGAATGCATGCGTTTGAAGTTAGCTATTAGAGCATCGCGTGGGTCCCTGATAAGAGCAATCATCCTGTGAAACACACGTCTTGCATTATGGCATTTAATTGCAATTACACTGCCATCTGTTGGATCATCTAAGGCTTCAGCAGGAAAGCCTCGTTTTTCAAGTCCTTTGTCATAATAAACTGAACCAGTGTAGATCCCTAGAACATACATTCATTTATTTTTTACTACATTTATATTTTCTTATAATGGGAAATCACAAAAGATAATATCAAGTTGACCTCTCAGCTCTATGCAATATCACTAGTCATCACCAAAACTAAATCCATAATTATGCTTAGTTGGAACTTATGTTATCTTTCAACATTTATTCATTATTCTTTGGAAAGTGTAACTTAATTTGTATCTTAGTATAGGTCAATTAGACTTTTTCACAAAATATTGCACTCATTTTGAACTTGGAGACCATTTTGGAAATTCATCAATGAAGTTGTCCACCTATAAAGAATTGGTATTTCAAATATGAATCAACTTAACTGGTACTGCACTCGATTACGCTGTATCTGTTTTGGTAACAAGATGGCTATGGCTCAGGTTAGAAAGTTCTTTAAGATTTTTCATTTCCATTGATTTCTCAAGATATAGCATAAATCATCCTAACCTTCTTGGCACAAACATGTCTGACCATCATATGTTTCTGGAAATCCAAGCAGTTTCCCAGAAATTAGTTTGTGGGATGACAGAATCATCCATATAATTTCTCACTTTTGTTACGTAAATGGAACTTCAAAAATGGTAAGAAATGCACTTTTAACCCATACCATTTACATAACAATAGTGAGGTATTAAATCCAAGATATTGTTATCTTCTGAACTATTTGTTCGCAAAAGTGTGGATTTTCCTAAATATATGATACTGACACACGTTTGTGATAAAAATGTTGTGGGAATTCTGCCTACAACTCGTGAAATAAGGAAAAAAGCAAAATCCATGGGTATGAAAATCGTACCTTCTAGGTTCCGACATATTATTCATGAAACAGATTTGTTTCGGTAACCGGTTTGAAAAGTACAGTACCAGTGCAAGTTGGTGAAGAGGTATTCAACTTTAAGCCAAACATGTGGTCCCTCGGCATATACACATATTTCCCTTGGGATAAACCCTGTATCCGAAACCAACCGTACATAACAGGTGTATTCCATACCTACTAAGGTTCTAGGTATATTCTTATATATCAATATTGTCTTATAAAGTTCCAGAATTCAAAAATACGCATTTTCTTAGTGTTAGCAGATCAATGAATTGATAAAATATACGACGTTGGTAAGGTTGAAATATAATCTTTATTTTTTGTATGCATAGAAAAAACGAACGTAAATGGAGTTCGCTTTTTAGGAGCGGGACAGGGATGGGCTGTATCCTGCCCCGCTCCTCAGAGATAGATCCCTGGATACAGTATATATTCCCGCTCGTTATTTACCTAGAACCTTAGTATTTATGGAATACACACTTTCCATATATGTATCTAGCAAAACGTGGACATTTTTTTTGATATGATCAATATTTAAAAATGTAGTGCTCATTTTCAGTAGGCTGCCGTCTTTTAAGATTTCACACAGGAAGATAAATGTGCCATATATATATATATATGGTTATAGCTACCATATAGGTTAGAAATGGTCTCAGTTATCTGATGCCTGCATTAAACAAGCTAACTAGTAGTATATAAAACACAATTACAGAAAAAATATTTAAACCGTTACCTGTAAGTTGCTGTATGAGGTGTCTAACCCATGTATTTCCAGAGCCAGGAAAACTGGTAAGAGTTGTAAGAGGTAGGGTTGTGTTTGAATAATGTAACACCTGGCAGTCATTCTTGTATTGGAAGCAACTGTCAATTCCACCTAAATGCAAACATACATGACATAGAAAACTGGTAAAAGTTGTTATATGTAGGGATGTGTCTGAGTAGTGTAACATTGGGTGGTCATTCTTGTATTGGAAGCAACTGTCAATCCCCCTTAATGCAAATATATATGACATAGAAAACTGGTTAAAGTTGTAAGAGAAGGGGTGTGTCTGAGTAGTGTAACATCTGGTGGTCATTCTTGTATTGAAAGCAACTGTTAATCCCCCTTAATGCAAGCATATATGACATAGAAAACTAGTAAAAGTTGTTGAATGTTAAGGGATGTGTCTGAGTAGTGTAACATCTGGTAGTCATTCTTGTATTGGAAGCAACTGTTAATCCCCCTTAATGCAAGCATATATGACATAGAAAACTGGTAAAAGTTGTAAGAGAAGGGGTGTGTCTGAGTAGTGTAACATCTGGTAGTCATTCTTCTATTGGAAGCAACCATCAATCCCCCTTAACATATCAAGCATAGTAAAAGTTGTTAAATGTTAAGGGATGTATCTGAGTAGTGTAACATCTGGTGGTCATTCTTGTATTGGAATTAACTGTCAATCCCCCTATAATGCAAGCATATATGACATAGAAAACTGGTAAGAGTTGTAAGAGAAGGGGTGTGTCTGAGTAGTGTAACATCTGGTAGTAGTCTTTGTATTGGGAGAGTTACTGTTAATTCCCCCTAAATATATGCAAACATACATAAATAAAGCTTGAGAAAGGATATGTCACTATAAGTGTGTAGGATCATATGTTAAAATGTTATGAAATAATGAAGGTAATAGTCTTAACTCACTGATGCCATACTTATTTTCAAATTAAATCAACCCAACAACATGTTTTCAGGCAATTCCAAGAGTGACCCATTTCTCTGCCAAAATTGTCTGTTTTTTCTTGATAATCATTTTCTGAGGTTTAAGAATATATTCACATTCAATATTCTAACAATATCAAGATTTATGCATGCCTTATAGTTTGGAGGCACTCTAATCCTATTTTCATTGGATGCGACAACACTACTGCTTTTTTATATCATGATGTGTGTGTTTTTCACTTCCTTGTTGTATCAAGGTGGCTTTTATATTCGAACAGTTCATTGCTTCTGCAGGCCTCGCCCACTCTTATTTATGCCTCAATGTTAACATTATGACAAGGGACTTTAGTGATAAAATTAGTGTGGACGAGGCCTGCGGAAGCTCTGTAAAAGTGAAGTTGAACAAAAAATATAGCACATGATCAGGGCAGCCATTTTGAATATTGACTACACTAGTGCTGTATAGATTCAAAGTGGATTATGAATTTACCACCATTGAATAATGACTAAAGGGCATTTGGTAACCTTAACATTTGGTGCCTAGATGTCAAAATATGGGTGTCCCCAGGGTTACAAGGAGCATTACCCCCAGCTCATTTGAAATTTTGAATAATTGACTTAACACAAGGATTAAAGATATCAGGATACAGGATATATCTTACCAACTTATCTCCCTAAACTCTACTTGGCATAGGATAAATGATGATATCCCCATATTTAATCAATGGACCCAAATAAAATAATAATAAAAAACAAAAATTGTGAAATTTGAAAGTTTGACCTACTTTTGTTCTTAACAACATTCTTTATCATATTTTCACATTTTAGATGTTATAAATGTTGATTTTGCACACAGGAATGTTTGATTTGCAGATATGCACTGACTTGACCTTTACAAGGTCATGATGACCTCAATAACACTTAGGATGTAACTGAACACTATGCCATAATTAACTCCTTACTAAATACAATAGTATATGTCATTATGGTTATGAATGCTCTGGGGGCATTTTATATACTTATAGTGACAGATCCTTTAAAAATTTAAAAAGTTTACCCAACAAGAACATTTTCATCATCAATTTCAATTTTAGATTTCAAGTTTTACAAAAAGTTTTGGGCCCCTAAAACTAAAAATTGAGCCCAAATTTTAAAAAGTTTCAGGGCCCATTTTTAGATAATTTGGCCTAAAAAGGCCAATTTTGCCCCAAAACACCCATTTTTTGAAGCCAAACAAAATTAATTTTTTGAAGCCATTAAATTTTTTTCTGGACTCACCAAAGGGGAGGGGGTACGCCCGGCCCCCTGGATCCACCAGTGCTCTTCTTGGGCAAAATGACAAAAAAAAGAATACAATGTACTTTGAATTCCTTACCTGTATTATTTGAGAAAACTGCTTGGTTCTTGATGAGCTTTGTTTTAATAGGTTCATTAGGTATATATGTAGTATTGGTTAAAATCCTATAAAGAATCTTCTGTTCAGACGTTTTGAACATCCACGGAATATGTACTCTACTTCTGTTATTTTGTATTGTCAAATACTTTTTTATTTCTTCTAACATCATTTTTTCAGTATTCCAATTGGGCTGAGTCGTTCTCCTGATATCCCCATATTCCTTCATATTTATTCTTGACATATTACTGACACCAGGCTCCATATTATTGACATCAGGCTCAATATTTTTGACATCAGACTCCATATTATTAAAATAAGGCTCCGTATTCTTGACCTCAGACTCCAAATTTCTGACAAGTGGCTCGCTATTGTTGACAGTTCTATAACTAGGACCTTCTTGAATAGATTTCCGGTAAACAATGTGGTGGTTTGTCATGTTTTTGGTATCCAATAATGTTAACGACCAATTTTTGAGAACTATTGTAAATAAGAATACATAGACTAAAAAAAGTAGACCAAAAAATAAAAACGAGAATTGCAAGCTTTTTACTATCATACCGTATCGTAAACCTATGTTCAAGGAAAAACAATTGTTTTTAACTTCCAAATGTATTGTTGTAAAATCCAATTATCAATTATTGTATATGCTTAAATATATGTTGATTTATAACGAATGTTAAAATGTCAAATAAATGTTTGAAGTTCAATCAATATGTTAAATTGTAACATTATCTATCAATGACATTAAAATGTCATAATTCTGATCTCTGATCCTAGAAATTGCCAGATGGGATTTGCAGTGTCAATAGGTTGTGTTGGCTCATTAATAAACCTATTGCCGATCCTCTCAGATTAAAAATAATTGGTTTTTAATTATTGAAAATTATTGGTGAAATTAAAGTCAGTTAAAGCTTTTCAATTTCATACACGTTTTTAAAAATCTTAAATTATCAAATTTTGTTTCACAATGTACCCGTTTAGAGAAATTTTCATTTTTGCCACTTTTTGACATTTTACTATGTACCTATACAACTTTAGATGCTCAACATCTTAAAATGAGGCTGCAGAGATCATTTCTACACATTAAAAAAAATTGTGTAAATTGGATGAAAATTGTTCAAATAAGAGCAATTTTAGTGAAAAATTTGGTCACAGATTTTCTTGTCACTGAGTTTCAAGGTAATTTCTGAGGTGACGAGAAATCTCGTCACTCCAGGTAGTCACGAGGTTAACTTGAATTGATAAGTATGTTTTTCTAGGTGATTGGGTTTATCAAGCATTAACATTTCATAGTTGTGACTTCTGCTTTAATAGGTCATTAGAGGTAATTAATGTTATGGACAATTCACATATGTATCTATCCACTGTAATTATATACCTATACATGTATGTTTGGAGTAAGTGTGATCAATATCAAATGAGAAAAACATCAACTCTATGTAGTAGCAGAAATCGCACTGAACAAAACATTTTTTTATCAAATCATCCAACAACACGTTTCTAACCTATTAAACCTAAGTTATGAACCTATAAAACATTATTTTTAATTGCAATTTTAATTAATTTTAGGTAATAGACAAAAATGTAAATGGCAGCCTTTTTTAAATTGAGTGGCCAATTTGAACAAAAAGCTGTCAGAAAAAAGCTACAATACTCATTTTTCAAAAGTATATGTTTAAATCCATCAAACAGTATTTTTATTTTAAAAAAGTGACAGATTTTGACGGTTTTGTTGAACATGTGGGCCAATTTTGAAATTTTCTTGTGAACTTCTAAACCTATTAATGACAGATTGGCTTCATTTTCAATCTTCAAAATAAACCAATCCGACAACTGATATTTGAGTTATCATAAATAACATTTCGAATAAAAATGGTGGACATTTCGAATTATTACAGTTATTACTTGGATAGAAAGACAAATGAACAAACGGAAAAATAGATGGATGGGTGAACTAATGAATTGATGGCTGTTGAACTTTGATTGGTAGGACAACAAAAATCCAACAAACAATTTTTTGGACTTGAGAGGACAGGCTTCACAAAATTTTTGAAAAATCATAGTTTTAATCAAGCGAATGGTGTAAAGTTGACATACTTCTGTAAAGTCTCTGAATATACAGTAACATGTATGATATCAAAGGGTCAATGTCAAAGGTCAAACAGGCGAGCAACATGTATTCCAAAAACCTATTGGTATGTACAAAAAATCTATCAGACAACATGACTAATTACAACGGCTCTGAATACTGGATATGGTTTTGATGAGATTTAAATGACCCCAAAAGTTAGACTATTATGACCTTAAATGAAAGGTAATGTAATAATTCAAAATGTAATGATTACAAATACCAGGTAGTTATGAAAGCATAACTGGTAGTGATGAAGAGAGTGTATGGAGTGCTCTTTTGAAAAAACAAAATCAAACAAATAAGGGAGCATTTCAAAAGATCAATATTGGAAAATTAACTGTATTTGCACAGTTAGGGAGGAAGGGAATCATTGGTCTTAAAAGTTAGGCATCAATTGGGCAATAGGCAAATGAAATAATTAGGTAAAATTACCACTTATACAATATCATGCATGTCTCCAGAAGAGGCAAGAAAATGCAACACAAACATGTAGTCAATGGTTTGTTATTAATGCAATATGAACACAATGCTAATGATACATAACATTAAAGATATATTAATTTAATGTCTAGGAGACATCCTACTTAAGCTGCTATTGCAGCATAGAATAATTTACCAAATAAGTTAAATGATGATCAAGTTAATTCACATATGCAACTTAATATTCTACTTATAGTATGTTTTATCCCTAATTATTCTCTGGTTGCTAATGTTTCATTACAAAAAAAAATAGCAATCAGAATCTACGAATATTAAAATTTGTAAACATATACACATTTTTGGACTGTGTGCTTTCAACCTTTCACACTTGGATAGAGCCACATCAGCCTCTTAGTCTCCCAAAGGAGCCACATCAGCCTCTTAGTCTCCTAAAGGAGCCACATCAGCCTCTTAGTCTCCTAAAGGAGCCACATCAGCCTCTTAGTCTCCCAAAGGAGCCACATTAGCCTCTTAGTCTCCTAAAGGAGCCACATCAGCCTCTTAGTCTCCTAAAGGAGCCACATCAGCCTCTTAGTCTCCCAAATGAGCCACATCAGCCTCTTAGTCTCCTAAAGGAGCCACATCAGCCTCTTAGTCTCCCAAAGGAGCCACATTAGCCTCTTAGTCTCCTAAAGGAGCCACATCAGCCTCTTAGTCTCCTAAAGGCGCCACATCAGCCTCTTAGTCTCCTAAAGGAGCCACATCAGCCTCTTAGTCTCCTAAAGGAGCCACATCAGCCTCTTAGTCTCCTAAAGGAGCCACATCAGCCTCTTAGTCTCCTAAAGGAGCCACATCAGCCCATAAGTGTCCTGAAGGAGAAAACTAGAGTGTATAACTAACTTACCTAGTCTATGTTGTTCCAGCTGTTGTATTGAGTTCAGCTGCACATTGCAGAAGGTGCAGGACAAAGCACCACCAGATATTGGTTGAGATAGAACTGGACTAGGGGTGGTCCCATCTTAAATACATAAAGAAATGAATAGACATCAGTCTTGTATTATAAAGCACCACCAGATATTGGTTGAGATAGAACTGGACCAGGGGTGGTCCTATCTTAAATACATAAAACAATAAATAAATAGACATCATTCTTGGATATAAAGCACCACCAGATATTGGTTGAGATAGAACTGGACTAGGGGTGGTCCCATCTTAAATACATAAAGAAATGAATAGACATCAGTCTTGTATTATAAAGCACCACCAGATATTGGTTGAGATAGAACTGGACCAGGGGTGGTCCTATCTTAAATACATAAAACAATAAATAAATAGACATCATTCTTGGATATAAAGTACCACCAGATATTGGTTGAGATAGAACTGGACTAGGGGTGGTCCCATCTTAAATACATAAAACAATAAATAAATAGACATCATTCTTGGATATAAAGTACCACCAGATATTGGTTGAGATAGAACTGGACTAGGGGTGGTCCCATCTTAAATACATAAAACAATAAATAAATAGACATCATTCTTGGATATAAAGTACCACCAGATATTGGTTGAGATAGAACTGGACTAGGGGTGGTCCCATCTTAAATACATAAAACAATAAATAAATAGACATCATTCTTGGATATAAAGTACCACCAGATATTGGTTGAGATAGAACTGGACTAGGGGTGGTCCCATCTTAAAAACATACAAGGCATTAACATGACAAAATGTCACCACCTAAAACAATTTGGTCAATTTAAAGCAAGTTGGAAAATACCTTTTGACCTTAAGAATGTTTTTGAAGATTTGAGCTTCTGGGATCTTGTAGATGATTTTGAAAAAAGAAATTGTTCAATCTGAAGCAAGTTAAAACTAGTTGCACACAAATCTTAAGTCAGATTTGAACTTCTTAGAACATGTAGATGATTTTGAAAAAAAAATTCGTCAATTTGAAGCAAGTTGAAAAAAATACCTCTTTGACTTTTTTTGACATTGAGAAGGTCATTGAAGGTCAAATGTCAAATGTAAAGTCAGATTTGAACTTCTGAGAACATGTAGATGATTTTGAAAAAAAATTAAGTAAATTTGAAGCAAGTTGAAAAAAGACCTTTTTGACCTTGAAAAGGTCATTGAAGGTCAAATGTCAAATCTAAAGTCAGATTTGAACTTCTGAGAACATGTAGATGATTTTGAAAAAAAATTAGTCAATTTGAAGCAAGTTGAAAAAATACCTTTTTGACCTTGAGAAGGTCATTGAAGGTCAAAGGTCAAATCTAAAGTCAGATTTGAATTTCTGAGAAAATGTAGATGATTTTGAAAAAAAAAATTAGTCAATTTGAAGCAAGTTGAAAAAAGACCTTTTTGACCTTTTTTGACCTTCAGAAGGTCATTGAAGGTCAAATGTCAAATCTTAAGTCAAATCTAAAGTCATATTTGAATTTCTGAGAACAAGTAGATGATTTTGAAAAAAAAATTTAGTCAATTTGAAGCAAGTTGAAAACAGACCTTTTTGACCTTTTTTGACCTTGAGAAGGTCATTAAAGGTGAAATGTCAAATCGAAAAGGCAGATTTGAATTTCTGAGAACATGTAGATGATTTTGAAAAAAAAATTAGTCAATTTGAAGCAAGTTGAAAAAAGACCTTTTTGACCTTTTTTGACCTTGAGAAGGTCATTGAAGGTCAAATGTCAAATCCAAAGTCAAATTTAAAGTCATATTTGAATTTCTGAGAACATGTAGATGATTTTGAAAAAAATATTTAGTCAATTTGAAGCAAGATGAAAAAATACCTTTTTGACCTTTTTTGACATTGAGAAGGTCACTGAAGGTCAAATGTCAAATCTAAAGTCAGATTTGAATTTCTGAGAACATGTAGATGATTTCGAAAAAAAAATTTAGTCAATTTGAAGCAAGTTGAAAAAAGACCTTTTTGACCTTTTTTGACTTTGAGAAGGTCATTGAAGGTCAAATGTCAAATCTTAAGACAAATCTAAAGTCAGATTTGAATTTCTGAGAACACGTAGATGATTTTGAAAATTTTTTTTAGTCAATTTGAAGCAAGTTGAAAACAGACCTTTTTGACCTTTTTTGACCTTGAGAAGGTCATTGAAGGTCAAATGTCAAATCTTAAGTCAGATTTGAATTTCTGAGAACACGTAGATGATTTTGAAAAAAAAATTTAGTCAATTTGAAGCAAGTTGAAAACAGACCTTTTTGACCTTTTTTGACCTTGAGAAGGTCATTGAAGGTCAAATGTCAAATCTAAAGTCAGATTTGAAGGTCAAATGTCAAATCTAAAGTCAGATTTGAATTTCTGAGAACATGTAGATGATTTTGAAAAAAAAATTAGTCAATGTGAAGCAAGTTGAAAAAAGACCTTTTTGACCTTGAGAAGGTCATTGAAGGTCAAATGTCAAATCTAAAGTCAGATTTGAACTTCTGAGAACATGTAGATGATTTAGAAAAAAATTGAAGTCAGTCTAAACAGTATTTGTTAAGTTATAGGAAGTTGTAAGAAATTGTTACAGACGCCGGACGCCAACCGCCGGACGCCAACCGCCGGACGCCAACCTCCAACCGCCGGACGCCGTCGCAAAAAAACGGAGACCATAACAATATGTCACCACTTTTGGTGGTGACATAAAAACAATAAATAAATAGACATCATTCTTGGATATAAAGTACCACCAGATATTGGTTGAGATAGAACTGGACTAGGGGTGGTCCCATCTTAAATACATAAAACAATAAATAAATAGACATCATTCTTGGATATAAAGTACCACCAGATATTGGTTGAGATAGAACTGGACTAGGGGTGGTCCCATCTTAAATACATAAAACAATAAATAAATAGACATCATTCTTGGATATAAAGTACCACCAGATATTGGTTGAGATAGAACTGGACTAGGGGTGGTCCCATCTTAAATACATAAAACAATAAATAAATAGACATCATTCTTGGATATAAAGTACCACCAGATATTGGTTGAGATAGAACTGGACTAGGGGTGGTCCCATCTTAAATACATAAAACAATAAATAAATAGACATCATTCTTGGATATAAAGTACCACCAGATATTGGTTGAGATAGAACTGGACTAGGGGTGGTCCCATCTTAAATACATAAAACAATAAATAAATAGACATCATTCTTGGATATAAAGTACCACCAGATATTGGTTGAGATAGAACTGGACTAGGGGTGGTCCCATCTTAAATACATAAAACAATAAATAAATAGACATCATTCTTGGATATAAAGTACCACCAGATATTGGTTGAGATAGAACTGGACTAGGGGTGGTCCCATCTTAAATACATAAAACAATAAATAAATAGACATCATTCTTGGATATAAAGTACCACCAGATATTGGTTGAGATAGAACTGGACTAGGGGTGGTCCCATCTTAAATACATAAAACAATAAATAAATAGACATCATTCTTGGATATAAAGTACCACCAGATATTGGTTGAGATAGAACTGGACTAGGGGTGGTCCCATCTTAAATACATAAAACAATAAATAAATAGACATCATTCTTGGATATAAAGTACCACCAGATATTGGTTGAGATAGAACTGGACTAGGGGTGGTCCCATCTTAAAATATATAAATAAACGAATAAATAAACAAATAATTGGACATGATTTCCCTACAATTCAATGAGACCAAAGTCTCAATTTTGACTTGTCCTGGGATGGACGTGTTCTCTAAGGAAGCAAAGATTATGTCTAAACAAACTTTAACAAGGCAACATTGCAAAATGTCACTACCTGCCATTTGTTACAAATGCCAAACACCATCTAAACACCAACCATTGAACACAATCCACAAAAATGTTTGAGACTATAAAAATATGTCACCACTTGTGTTGTGGTGACATAAAAATTCTCTCAGACAAAAAAAGTGAACTGTATGATAGACAGTAAATCTTACATACATTTATATCTGAAGATATTTGTGAACCAAATCCAAACACCTCTCAATATGAACACTTTCATCCCAATCCAAATTTTTAATATCTAAATGAGTCCCTTGTTAAAGAAACTTTAAAATGTGAAGATCTGCTATTCCAGACACTTTATACGACCAGTCCTGGTCCCAGTGGCATTCAGATGAGACAGATTTTACTTTATAGCTTAATTGGTAAATGAACAGCCATCCCTCACCTTTATTTTGCTGGTAGCCAGGCAAGTATCGTAGCTTCTCTTTCTGCATAACTTTCTTCGCATGTTTTTGTCCATCAAAGTGTTGCCTTGCTTTAATCTCAGAGTCAAACATCATACTACAAACCTACAAGCAAATAGTGAAGGATAATACAACATCAGAGAAATAATTGTACTTGTATGTAATTCCCAAATTGGCGTAAAATTCTGATTTTCAGTTTGGATCAAAGTTGGTTAAAATCATGTCAATTTTTCAGGATATTTCACTTTTTCTGTGGGTATTTTCAAAATCTTAAACATTTGCAGCACCACATATAGGTACCAATGTATAAATTGTAAATAAAAACGAAATAAAATAATAACATATATTTTAACACAGATCCACAGCAGGATAGCGTTATTATTCAAAAGAACATTGGTTTTAACCAATGGGTCATTAATAGAAACCTCAGAAACATAAAATTCCTTAATTAAATTATTGACTTGCTATGGCATCATTATATCCATGGTAACAACAAATGATTTATGTGTTTTAAACTTTATGTGGTTTCTGTTATTGACCCTCATAGTAACATTAAGTACAGTAAAATGCTTACTTCACAGGGAATATCTTTCTTCTTGGTCATGGGGAGTGTTCCTAGCATATTCTGGTATATCGCCTTGGCAACTGGGTCTGTCACTTTAGCGCCATCTGTTGGTTTCTGAGGGGAAATAGGGACTGGGTTGGTGGAAGTGCTTCCATTGGCACTGTTGTCTGCCTGATTGGCACTGTTGTCTGCCTGATTGGCACTGTTTTCAGCACTGTTGTTTCCATTACTTTCAGATACTGAGGAATTGCTTTCTAGAACCAATATATTTCAACACTAGATATTGCATAATTCTTTTTTCTTCCCTTTCTCTCTCTCTCTCTCCTTCTACAGTAAACAACATTAATAACCTGTATGATAATATGTCAAAATAAAGATTTATTATAAAAAAAAAATATATATATAATTTTCTTTGAATATTACATTTTATATTATAAAAGGTCATTTTATACTTCAACAAAAACATGTAGTTCAGTTGTAATAGCAGTTGGCTATTTATGTCTAAAATGAGTTGGAGGATGGGGAAGCAATGTTGTCCATGTTGCTAAAATTTTGACGGAAAATCAGTGCAGGCAATAGTCAGGAGGCTATCAACAGAAGCTTAATAAAGTTAAGAATTCATAAAACTCATTGTTCTCTAACTGTGACGTTATTATATCCATGGTTACAACAATTGATTTACGAATTCGTAACTTTACTAAGTTTCTGTTAATGACCCCCAGAAAATTACTAAGCAACCTTGTTTACTAACCTGTGGTCGGTGTAGCAGGTTCAGCTGGTATATTAGGTGCAATAGGTGCATTAGGAGTTGTAGGAGATTGCACACCCTTTGCTTTCATTTTCTTCATATGTTTAGCACCATTGTAGTGTTGTTCACGCTGAAGGTCTGAGTTGAGAGTGATTTCACATATCTCACAAGTGGTAGTAGTTGTTTGTTGCGTCTTTTGTTTCTTCTTGGGTGGACCCATTGTTCCTTAGTCCTACATGGAATAATGAAACTAGGCATATTAAACTGATATTGTCATAACGCATGTAGAGTCGAGATTGCTGAGTTACAGCGGTTTCATTAGCAGCAGGCAACAGGCGATTTATCTGATTTATCAGAGCCCCTCTCTATCTAAAGCTTGTGAGAGTGAGATAATCACAAAAAGGTTATATCTTAGGAAATTTGAGCTATACAGGGCGTATCAAAAAAAACGCAACAAGTAGTTATCTCGTAAAATCTCAAAACTAGTGATGACTCCATCAATTTCATTCAATGTACCATAAAGCCACGTCTCTGTTCTTTGCAATGATATGTCATTCATTCACATGTGTTAATGGTTGGGTGAGAAATCTTTCCATTTGCACAGTGGGTCAAAATCGTCTCTGCACCAAGTTTTAGATATTGCAAAAATAAGTGCAAGGGCTAAGTGCCAATGGAAGTTCCTCTGACTTGAATTGTTGTGACTTTTTCTTTTGGAGCTATCTCAGGAGCATCTGTGCTCACAATTCCTTCACCAGATATTGCAAAACCTCAAGAAAGAATTGCCCATCGGCTGCTTTTCTCTGCTTTAACCCACAGAGGACCCAGGGCTGAACCATGCATGACGTGGACAGATGAGCGCATCTTTATGTGCAAGGAAGTGGTGGCATTTTGAAGGGGTATAGGAAGTATTCTTGCAAGAGTATGAGTATGAACACTTTACTGTCTATGCCACACCTGTCACACCTTCTTCCAATACCCCCTACTCCCCTTGTACTGACTTTTGCAATGTTTAAAACTTGGGTCTGAGCTGAATTTCGCCCCACTTTGCAAAATTAATGATTATTCGGCCAGCCATGACTCCCTGTGAATGAATGATATTCCATTGCAAAGAGGAGTGATTTGGCTTTTTGGTACATTTAATGGAAAGGATGCAGTCAGCATTGATTTTATGTTTTCTTCCAATATTGCATCGGGCTCCGTACACTGATTTTTGCGATGTTTATAACTTGGTACAAAGCTAATTTTGGCTCACTTTGCAAATGGAATAATTACTCGCCCAACCATGACCAAATATCAATGAATGATATATCATTGTAAAGAGAAGACACATGGCTGTATGGTGCATTGAATGAAATCAATGCTGTTATCACTGGTTTTGTGCTTTTCCGAGATAACAATCTGTTGCATTTTTTTTGATACGCACTGTACTTTAAATATTATTATTAAATATATTACACATAATGATGTGTATATTTGGCGATTTGACAACACTGTTGTTACCATGGCAATAATGATTATAATGACTGATGGTATTGTTACCCATCTTCGGTATTGATTTCTACATATACTAGAGCCTTTCTAGAAATTTCTATAGATTTACATATATATAATAAAGCCTACGACATGCGTGTAGCATGGATCAATTTACACATATTCCCTCCTTTGTGTACATAACGACCACAGGTGAATATAAAGGAATAAAGCATTGGCAATCAATAATAAGGTATAAAGACTTATCCAACTGGCTGTATGCCATTTGCTGAATATAGTGTAGATTTAAGCGATAGATCATGACTCAGTACCTACACTCTATGTATTGATGAATTGGAAAATTAAGAAGGTACATGTAGTTATGTTTTGAAATTGGTGCTTTGGAGACTGTCTACACTAAGATTCTATAGAATCTTTGAAATATATGAAGACGGATTAGAAGTGAAGTTAATCTGCTATAAACAGTTTAACATTTATAGCAAAATGTATTGTTAAATACTTAAGAGACACATCATTCATGAACATTAGGATTTGACACAGTGACAGTCGGACTTGATATTTGGGTATAACATTTACAAGTATAAAATCCACGTAACTGAGACTGATACATAATTCAACCATGGCAGAACCGGGAGACTTCAGAGCATGGTGTCAAACACAAGGCCTAACTGAGAACACAGTACAAATGTTGCTGGATCATGGCTTTACAAATCAAGATACTCTCAGGCTTGTCACACAGCCTATAATTGACAAGGAGTTAGAGACGGAGAATCTTGGCCAGCGCTTACTGCTGAAAGAGGCCATTCACAAACTTTGGTTGACATCATCAAGTGCTTATCCTATCCCTGGCCCTGCTTCATATATGGGACCCCCAGCATATGATACAATTACACATGGAAACCCGTCTCCAGCACCTGGGGAATTATTTCCATTGGAGACATTGTACTCATCAAATACCCAACTTCCTCCACTACAGGATGTGCATCCTCCACCGAAAAGCATGATTTTTTCATCAGCACAATCAATCTCTACAGTAGATCTACCAACTGGTACATCGACTTCACAAGCACAATCAAAAGCTAAAAAACCTTCTGCTAAAATAATTCCTGCACCGAAGAATGCTGCCAAAGTAGAACATGCTACTGTACCCATAGATGCTAAGATTGTTGTCGCAACAGAACAACACTCAAAAAAACAACCAAAAAAGAAAACAGAAGTGGCAGAAGCGGACACTCCCAAAGTGCAATCAGCTGCTAAAAAGACAACAGCTGCACCAAAGAAGGCTGCAAAAGCTCCTGTTTCTAAAGATGACAAGATTGTTGTAACCATGGAACAACACCCACCAAAAGAATCAGACAAGAAAACAAATGCACAAGCAGACACTCCCAAAGCACAATCAGCTGCTAAAAAGACAACAGCTGCAACCAAGAAGGCTGCCAAAGTAGGACAAGCTCCTGTCTGCGAAGATGACAAGACAGTTGTAGCCACAGAACAACCAAAACAACCAAAAAAGAAAGCACAATTTTCTTATACCAACCCATACGGCAAAGCAATGATCGATTTAACTTGGTTAGCAATTTGGTTTTGTTTTGCTTTGCTTGCTATAAGTATAGCATCAGCCTTTAACAATACTTCAACATGGAAGTATTTTACGGGATTATGGGTCTTTATTATCATCGCAATAGCTGTGTTTTATGGGGACAAAATTAAGAAATTACCAGCAGGAAATTTAGTTACTGAGACTTTCTTTATAGTTATGAGTGTATTACTTCACTTGGCACTTGTAGCTTGCTTGGTTACCATGGCAACCTCAGCTTACGGAATGTACATTGACAGGGAAATACATGTAAATGGCACATCATGTGATGATAAACTTCTAAAGACGTTAAAGTTAAAATGTGACTATAACACAACAAGTAATAATGAGACATATACCGGGCCCAATGTCATAGGCTGGAATGACCAGCAGGCCTTCCATACTGGTAACATAGTACTTGCATACATTGTTTTTGTTTTAGTTGTGTGGGCGTTATATGCCAGACGTGACTTCATCGACGGATTACCACCAATCACGTTCAAAGATGACATAGAGAAAGGATTCATTGAAACAAGTTTCATGTTTAAACTTACACCAATATCTTTCCCATTCTTATCTATAGTTGAAGTGGTATTCAAGACAACAATGTGGCAACTTTTCCTCCCTCTGATATCTGGATGTATTCTCCTTATCTCAGGATTTCATGCACAGAAGTTACATTTTCTACCAAAAGGTGACAAGAAAAAGAAGCGATATAAAGTCCAAATTATTTTATTAACTGTTTCCATGGTTGTTGTCCTAGCGACGGTTGGTGTCCACGGCGCTGGCATTCATCTGGATAATGAGATACACGAATACGGGGTCTCTTGTGATGAGGTCTACATAAAATACTTTGATTACACTTGTGAAGTTGAAAAGTCTGCAGGTGAGACTGGACATACAACACATGCTTATCTTAATACAGGAGAACTGAATTACAAACAGGGCATCCATTTGGGTATTGTAGTCTTAGGAGTATTTCATGTGATTTTTCTTTTCATAGCGATTAATTCAGGTTCTGTGTTTATGGTACAAAATGGTCTCAAATGCTGCTAGAATACAAGATAAGCAGGCCCATAGCCAGTGAGAAACTACCTGATTTTGAAAGAACTTTTGGTAGGGGGGGGGGGGGGGGGGGGGGCTGATAAAAAAATGCATATAAATCATTTTCAGTGGAAACAAGGCATTAACATGACATAATGCCATCAGATTTTAATTGTACAAAATATGCTGTTATTATATTGTGTTTTAACTGTTACTATATTTTGTGACAAGAAAATACCATTATATAATAACATCAAGTTTTAATTGTACAAAATATGCTGTTATTATATTGTGTTTTAACTGTTATTATATTTTGTGACAAGAAAATACAATTATATAATAACATCAAGTTTTAATTGTACACAATATGCTGTTATTATATTGTGTTATAATTGTTATTATATTCTGAGACAATCTATCAATATGACATTAGGTTTTAATTATACAAAATATTCTGTTACTTTATCGTGTTATAACTGTTATTATATTCTGTGACAAGGTATCAATATGACATTAGGTTTTAATTATACAAAATATGCTGTAATTATATTCTAAGGCAAGACTATAGGTCAAAATCTGCTAACTTATTGCAAAATGGGTAAAACTATGGGTTAAACATCACAAAATTAGAGCATTCTTATCAGAATTTATGGATCGACCCGTGTATATACAGACACTGAAAAATCAATATCTAACCACCATCAATCGGAGACAAACAAGATGATTCCATGTATGTAAACATTTTTAGCAATTTAAGTAATAAAAAACACTTCTTGGTGGTGATTTAGAATAATTAAAAATGTTGAGCATTCCTCTTGATTATTGCAAATGCAAAAATAGCTGCATATCTGAAAATTACATAATACCAAAAGTTATTTGATGTTAAAGGTAGAACTACCTGGTAAACATCTCTTTAAATTATTAAAAACTACCTGTATATACATGTATTTATAAATAATATTTATCACTAATTGTAACATTATTCAAACAGGGTAGTAAAAAATGATGTATTTGTTAATGTTTAGAATGAATAAATGTATGTACAGTTTGGACCATAAATAAATGAGTCATGGATTTGCTGAAGTGAGATGTTAAAAATAAGAGAATTTTCAAGAGGCCAAACATCAGTGGATGAGAGTATACAAAATGTAAAATATACAAAATTTAGGAGATATATACCAAGACAATATTGAAATATATGGGCTTTCAAACCACCATGGTTTGGCAACGGTGATAAAAATTTACTACCGATTTACTTACGGTCCAAATTTTATTTACTGAAACAAATTTAATGAAACCAACCATGATGACAAATGACCTTGTGCTATGTCAATCAGTACAAATAATTAATGAAACTAGTTTTAAATCATGAAAATTGGATCGCTTGTATTGAAGAAGAATACAAGTATGGATAACAGGAAGGTGGATAGGGAGACTCAATCCTTATCAAGCCAAAGCTCTCCCAACATCGAAAACACTAAGGCGCAGCACCTCCATGTTTTTTGTTAAACCAAAATGCTCATCAATGCAATTAGATACACCTCCTAAAATGTTACAATAAAGCATAAGAAAACTAGAATGTTGCACAAAAATTACAAAATCATAGAATGTTACACAAAAAAAAATTACAAAATTATAAACTGTTGTACAAAATATTACAAATTACTAAAACGTTGCACTAAAAAATAATATAATAAAATCCTCCACCCAAAAATCCTGGGGATAGCACTGGTTCGTGAAGGTGGCTTATAGAACCTAAAACCATGCATGCAAGGGTAGAAAAATTTTGGCACAAGGAGTGTATTCAGTATCGTCATATTGAATAATTTCATTTCGGTTATGTTCATAGGCTACCAAGGATGCCAGATGCAACCTCACTCGGAAGTAGAGGTGTCACGGTTTCGGTCCAGATGCTTCGGTTCGGACAGAAAGGGTAAATATCGGTACGGTATCGGTACATAAATTCTTTCCCTAAAATGCATAAAAACGTGTATAAATAGTGAGGAACACCTCCGATTTCGTTCAGAAAAATTAAATATTTTCACTTACCTCGTACCTGGATTACACTTCTTTGCATTCAAAAGTGTTATTAACGGACCCGCAATTTCAGGTAGATAGTAATGCTTGTTCGTAATTTCTTCATCGTCATTCGCAAATCGAGTGCATTATCAGTATGCCGGATGTAGAAAAGAAATTGAAAAATCGGGCCGGCATATAATTGGGACTCCGATATCACAAGGTAAACGAATTGGTGATAGTACACCATGCAGATTATGTGAAATGCCAATCACATTCGCGGTAAATGCGTTATATTAGATTTTAACTGACGTTTTTTTTTATTTCTGAATATGATTTTGAAAAGTGAAACTGCCATCATCAAACATTACATCATTTTTCTTTAATGTTCTGTCCCGTCCCAAAAGTATCGTGTCCCGAGACCATTTGTACCGTTCTGTACCGTACCGAATTTTTTTGGACCGTGACACTTCTACTCGGCTGAATTCATCTGTTGTGTGAGATTGGGGAGGGCAGAAGGCCGTTAGGGCCCAAAAAGGACTTAATACAACTTCCTGTGCTACTCGGAAGTGCCTGCAATGAACTCGTAAATAATTCCTATAAAAGTCTTGGAATTAGATAAGCGTAGGCTACCACAGTACCAGTTAGTGTTGTCGCGATTAATCGATACATCGCGATATACATTGCCAAAGCTGATTCTGGCGATGCATCGATGTTTTTGAAAAAATTTTAATTCGCTAAAAATCACCCTTTCTTATCTTATTTTGACGCAAATCGCTTACCTTTCTCACGAGTTATTTCATTTTCCAATGTTTTCTGATATTCTTTCGCTCTAAAACTGCTTTAGCTAGTCTAAATGAACCATTAATCTAAAAAAATTACTTTTACTTTCATTTCACCGTTACTAAAAGTTCCCGGATGTACCAGCGTACTCTTATTAATTTGTTCCGTTCGGTATTTTAGTGTATTAGCGTTCGGTATTTCAGTGCACTTTTCTCAGACTTTTTCTCGATGTACATCGCGATGTGCATCGATGTTTACTCCTGAAAATTGCCGATGCATCGATGTACGATTATGGCACATCGCGACAACACTAGTACCAGTATTCATTCAGAAAAGATCAGAGGGCAATAAGATATTATACAGGATGCATCACAGTGAACACCATCCATTGATCTCTAGATTCTATTGAAAGAAGTCTTTCATTAGAGATCAATGGATGGTGTTCACTTTAATCACACGATAATCCTAAGAAATATCATAAACAGATAAATCAATCAAATATTTAATGCTACCAATATGTACTTACCTATATAACTGGTAAAATAAAATATTTATTTGCAAAATGCTTCCAGACTTTAGAGACTCGCTAGATGGCGCTCTGGTTAATTGATTTTATTCAGCGTTGTATAGAATGGTAATTACGATTTCCTTGCTAAGCTAAAATGAGTAATATGTTTATGAATAATTGCAGCAAGTTATAATACTTCTTATAAGTTGTAATAAATACATTATTTTCTATAATGTACAAATATTTTTTAGTTTTGCTCGAGATTAAAGCATACAAGTCTATACCAAATTGGTATTTTCGGAATTCCATGAAAATTTACAAAAATTGTGAAACAAAATTTATTTGTGATATATTGTGAAATATTCATGATACTTTGAGGTTTATTTAGCTATAAATACCCGAGAGTAGAGCAGAGTATTCCGGAGTATCATTTGAACTTATCTAGAAAAGATTTAGGAATACAGATAAAGATACATAAATAAAAATAAGGAAACTGGATAGGCCTACGCTTGTTGAATCTGAGATCTATCGGGTAAGTTTAGATTGTTTATCACGGATAATCATAATGGGAAGTTCTCCATTTATATATTCAGAATACTCCATGTTTGCCATCTTGGGTCAGAAAAAATGACTCCGCCCCGATCTCATTATTTACTGACATTGCATTTGGCAATAAATTCATAATCCGTGCTATCAAAAGGTTTATAGTCTTTTTATCGCGATCTGTTATGTGTGTTTGAATTTTTGTGTTATGTGTGTTTGAATTTGTAATTACGACATCTTTTATAGATTGGCTTATCCACTCACGACGGGCGGATAATCTTCTGATACTAGAATATCTTATGTTGTGTTAAACACCGTACATGTGATTATAATTCCAGTATTACGACGAAATGGAGTGTAAAGGATCATCAGGACCAACCCAGATTAAATCCCCTCCCACACTAGGATCAAGCCCCTGGGGCAAAGTTAAAGTGACACCACCATGCTCTCTGACGGAAGTCATGAGTGAGGAACTAGTCGATCAGATGCAGAATGCTGATACTACACAAGAAACCAATCAAATAATGTAAGGGTTGATTGAATTTCATAGGTTGTTTTACATTGTTTTTATGTCATCACCACAAGTGGTAACATATTGTTATCATCTCTAACTTTTTTATAGTCGGTGTTTGGCATTCTGTGGTCGGCTTTATTAAAAAAGAAAGATATATTGATTACATAATTGCTGAGAACAAATTGTCTCTGGTTGAGACAGTATCATAATATGGACAATGTATACTGATTATTGGTGGTAGATAATTTACCATTCTGATACTCATAGCATCTCTCTCTGTTGCATCCAGAAAGATAGAGATGGAGAGGGTTTGGCTTACCACGATGATAATTTACAGTGAAACCTGTACATGTATATCTGATCATGTCTCTAATCTGAACTCTTCTCAATGTGAACACTTTGTCATGGTCCAAAATTTAATATCAGCCATTGACTCACATGTTTAAAACTTGAAATGTGAACACCTGTTTATCCAAACACTTATCCAGTCCCAGTGGTGTTCGACAGATTTTACTGTAATTCATTAAGATCATATCTTTAAATTGTGCTGCCATCTATTGTAGGTCTGATGCTGAACTAGCCGCTTCACTAAGCTCACAAGAGGCCGCCACTGGTACAGAGACAAACGATGATCTATTGCTTGCTCAGATGCTTCAACATGAGTTTGACAGAGAGCACGATAAGCTTCTACAAAAGCAAGAAAACAAATATAACGGTGACAGTAAAGGTACGATTGGTAGATGTGTCACAGAACAGAAAATTTTCAGAACAGTTAGTTTCAAAATAATTTTACATATTTAGGGAACAATTTTGGATGTTCAGTAACTTGCCTTGACCTAAATAAGTAAGGTCAAATATATACTTTGTGATTGTGAGCTTGCAAATTAAAAGATGTCCACTTCAGGGTGTTTAACCACTGTAACTCTCCACAACAAATACAACCTCTCATCCTCATTCTATCATTGTTTGATTGAATACTGTTTAATGCTTTCATCATAGGACATAGCTGATAATTCTAATTGCCCAGCCACTAGCACATATGCACCTATTGTAAGAAGTATTCTTTTTGTATTAATAATGTAAAATAAAAATGGTGTTTTAAGGGGCAATCTAGGGTACTCATGGCATGTCTATTCATGGAACAGAAAATACTGGATATTTGCATTTAAAAAATATTTCTGTAGTCATGACACCTCTATATATTGTTCACCCTAAAACTTAATGATTGTTCTAATTCCTACTGTCAAGCTCAATCTTGATTTATTTATATTTTGTGTCCTTTCTTAAATTTTGTTCATAATCTAGGTGCACCTTGACATGTAATTTTTTTGATGAACTTTTTAAAATGTTCCTGTCATATGTGCTTTATGTCTATGGAATGTAGATGTTACTCTTACTATTGTGAAACATTCTATTTCAGTAAGTATTTCTTTCACCAACTTCCGTTCAGTTCACCCTCACCTCCAGGATGACATAGAAGACAGTTCCAGTGATGATGATGATGATGATGTCATCGATTGGCACACAACATTAAACGCCCCAGAACCCCAGTTCAACAGATTTGGGGTGTCTGGGAGTGGGAAGTCTATGGTGACGAAGCATGATGCTGGAATCAGCTCTCGAAGAAATGCCAACAAAATTATGGAGCAGGTTAGTGAATAGTAAACCTATATGATCTCCAGGGGGGAAATTTCCCAACGTTCAGAGTTGGTGTTAGGTCAGGTGATATTCATGTGATAGATCCATTAGGGTGGCTCAAAATAATTTTATTTTGGAAATGTTATGCTCCCTACGTGAATCGAGTTGCATTTTGGGGTTAATATCACCTGTGATTCTTTTCAAATTTTTTAGTCAACTTTTAGGGGTCCCCCACAGCCTTTGAAGTTTGCCCATAGGCTTAACATTAGTGGGCGTCGCCCAAAATCGTACTTTGTTGAAGTTTTCTTCTAGAGTGATTTATATATGTTGTTTGAAGAAAAACAACATTGTATATGATATGATTAGATGTTAAATCATCATATTACTCTGTTTCATCATGGGAACTTATATGAAATGTTATACTTACAATATCCTATTAACAAAATATTAGGTACATTTGACCAATGTTATTATTTGAACAAGTACAGGTTTAGAGAATCATGTCTCATATATGATTTGGTATTGTCATTATTATGGTTTAAAATGTAAAAGGTATATTCATTCTTGACATTTAATGTTTTAAACATGGTTCAGATCAGATTTTCTTATATGTGACACTCTTCCTCTATGATCTGAGCGTACAACACATACATTGTCACGATGCGCCGCGTCACAGGGCATTTGAGATATTCCTGCAGATGATACCAGAACTTGAGACCGTGAAGAGGTGCTGTGGTTGTCAAGGGGGCACTAAGGAAATACCATCCGTAGAGATAGACCACAAATCCCAAAAGTTGTGTTATCCTCTGCAGTTGCTGTGGAGTAAGTTGGACAAATAAGAATATCTTCAAGAGGTAGAGACTCTTCCCCATGAACCTGGCATGGTGGAAGGCTCCAGGTTGGTCGCAGCTCTTTGCAGTGTAAGACAGAGCAAGAGAGGAGAAGCAGGAGCTTGCTATAGCACTGCTCAACATCCCACGGCCTGTACAATTTGCAACTGGCAAACCAGGACAGCCTGAATTCAACCCAGTTGCTGCTCACTTAGGCAATGTTAAACCATCACTAGCAATGTTTGTAACTGAGAGATCTTGGCTGAGTTATCGTGACAATGCATGTGTTGTACACTCAGAGCAATTTATGTTCAAACCCAGAATTTCTGTCAAGACCTGCATTCTGTTAATGATCCAGCTGAACGAGCAGTGAAGCTGGTACAGGAATGCTCTCAAATGACCCGTGACGCGGCGCATCGTGACAATGTATGTGTTGTACGCTCAGATCATAGAGGAAGAGTGTCACATATAAAAAAATCTGATCTGAACCATGTTTAAAACATTAAATGTCAAGAATGAATATACCTTTTACAGTTTAAACCATTATAATGAGAATACCAAATCATATATGAGACATGATTCTCTAAAACTGTACTTGTTCAAATAATTATACTGGTCGAATGTACCTGATATTTTGTAAATAGGATATTGTAGGTATAACCTTTTATATAAGTTCCCATGATGAAACAGAGTAATATGATAATTTAAACATCTTATTATATCATATACAATGTTGTTTTTCTTCAAACAACGTAAATAAATCACTCTAGAAGAAAACTTCTACAAAGTACGATTTTGGGCAACGCCCACTAATGTTAAGCCTATGGGCAAACTTCAAAGGCTTTGGGGGACCCCTAAAAGTTGACTAAAAAATTTGAAAAAAAACACAGGTGATATTTACCCCAAACTGCAACTCGATTCATGTAGGGAGCATAACATTTCCAAAAAAAAATTATTTTGAGCCACCCTAAGATCCATATAGGAATCCAAGTTACTGTTGTCCCGTTGTCCGCCATTTTGAATCTCATATAAGGCTTGTAGGACCATATAGGGAAAGCTAAGCGTTAAGCCCCTGATACCAAATAATACCACATAATTATGAGGGCTACTCACTTCTTCTGATGATTCCTATATGTACAGGGGGTGTCTCAAGAAGTTAAAGAGCTCTTTATCAGATCTTTATTATTGGAAAATGGACCCATACCTTGTAAAATTGTTAATTTTTTTTGAAATCTTCAATTAAATATAATACTATAAATCATAGAATCGTAGAATCTCAATCTTTATTTCTTCCTGTACTCATGAAATTCTAAAAGGGGAAAAGACCAAATACTGAGCGTGATTTAATAAGCCAGATACAGGCATGAAAGAAAGTGCTAAATTCAATGCCCTTGTTGGAATTGAACCTATGTCCCTCAGATCCAAGGCCTGATGCTACCAAAGCTTAAACTTGCTGTAGTAGCAACTAGCTATTCAGGGTCCATTTTTGGTACAATCCTAAGTTATGATTCTCAGAAAACCATAGTCTACTTTAAGATGAAGAATAACTTGTGACCAAATTGTAAGTTGCGACAGTTCCAAAATTGGACCCTACAATCATTACAATATTTTCTCTCTGATTGCAGTTCCCACCTGGTTTCCAAACTGGTGACGACACACAGTTTGACATGAAGCTGAACAACAAGGTCTACAACAAGCTGAAGTCTCACTCTATTGCTGAAAATAAACGAAGTCAGCGACTACATGAAAAGAAGGAGCATTCAACTTCAGTAAGTACAATAGAGTACTTTACGCCTGGTTGTAAAGTGGTTGTAATATGATTGGTTCATTATAATTGTGTCGAATTACAGCAATGGAGTGATACCTAAATCTTACAGTAAAACCTGTATTTGAGAAGAATACCCATCTAATCTGAAACATATAACTCTTGGTGTTCTCATTTATTTGTAGCTTTTAAAAATCAAATAGGTTTATTCACATAAGCTACTATTATGTTAATGAACCTCAAAATGGGAACATATAATGACCCGTTCCAGTTGTGTTTGGAATAGACAGTTTTTACTTTACATGTACAGCCTTCAATATGTGTAGCCTTCACTAGAAAGTTTACAAATGTTGCATTATTTCATCTTCAGGAACAGGCCATAGATCCCAGGACTAAGCTGATCATGTACAAGCTGGTCAACAATGAGATCCTTGAATCCATCAATGGTGTCATCAGTACTGGGAAGGAGGCTGTCGTCTTCCACGCCAATGGTGGCAGGTTGGTACAATACTGTCTTATATTATTGGATATTCACGAATAAACCAAAAGTTGAATCTGTTGGATTTTAAGCATAATGATGTCTATTTTTGCAATTCAAAATTTATAAAATGGTAGTAAATTAAGTTTTTTAAAACATGAATCAATGGGAGATTTCAAGGACTGAGGAAAAGCATTCACATTGAGATGTGTTTCAAAAAGAGTTTTTTATTGCATATATTGCAGGATTGAGCAGCAGCAAGTGCCATGTGAGTGTGCAATCAAAGTGTACAAGACTAACTTGAATGAGTTCAAGAACAGGGCCCAGTACGTCAAGGGAGACTATAGATACTTGTATATATTATTGTATATATTGCAGGATTGAACAGCAGCAAGTGCCATGTGAGTGTGCAATCAAAGTGTACAAGACTACCTTGAATGAGTTCAAGAACAGGGCCCAGTACGTCAAGGGAGTCTATAGATACTTGTATATATTATTGTATATATTGCAGGATTGAGCAGCAGCAAGTGCCATGTGAGTGTGCAATCAAGGTATACAAGACGACCTTGAATGAGTTCAAGAACAGGGCCCAGTATGTCAAGGGAGACTATAGATACATGTACTTGAATATATTATTGTATATATTTTAGGATCGAGCAGCAGCAAGTGCCATGTGAGTGTGCAATCAAAGTGTACAAGACTACCTTGAATGAGTTCAAGAACAGGGCCCAGTATGTCAAGGGAGACTATAGATACTTCAAAGATGAATTCAAGAAACAGAATCCAAGAAAGATTATGAATATATGGGCAGAGAAGGAAAAAACAAACTTAAAAAAGTAAGAAGATGTTGTAAAGTCCACAGTTGAGCTATTGGCCATTCCAAATGATTGAATTCTTGGAACAAATCGTGTGATCTTGACAGGGATTTATTGTTTTGAAATGTGTTGATGAAGTTTGATTGTTTTGAAATCTGTTGGCCGGGCTTGGCTGTTTTGAAATCCTTTTTCTAACTCTTACAGATATAATCTCTTATGTTAATAACAAGAAATACAGAATATGAACTTTATGTTTTAGAATGAGACGTCATGGAATCTTATGTCCCGAACCTGTGTTGCTACGGAAACATGTGTTAGTGATGAGTTTCATTGGTCATAATCAGCAATCAGCGCCTAAACTTAAGGAAGCTGTCCTTAATGGTGATCAGCTACAGTCTGCCTACAGCCAGTGTATTCAGGTATTTTTAAATTTCTGCCTTCATAAACTTTGATAGACGTAGGAGCATAGAGACACCTAATAAGCCTTTATTTACATCAAAAATGATTGAGATTACAGATTTTTGATTTATTTCTATATCTTCTCTCTGGGCTTTATTTAGAATTCTGAGTCAATGGGTACATTTTATTGAACATTAATTTTTCCAAATATTGAACTTCTGAAATCCTCCAAATCTAGAGTATTGCATAATTTCTCAGAGCTACTTACTTTAATCTGAAAATTTTTTGCACCACTGGCTAGTTTCACCTCAAAATAAACTCAAAGTTTTCGATGAAAGGTGTGTTTTATAATAGTGAGAAATAATGTGTTTAATTGCACAATTTATAAACTTTTGCATTTCAATCCTAAAACGTCATCACTGGATATCCCTACTTAATTAATCTATCATATTTTCTGTAAATCACACTCGGGGCTCTTAAAAAATTCAAATACCTCCTTCAGGCCATTCTAATAGGCGCTCATAATGAAAAAAGTCCCTGGGATTTCATGTATGGTAATTTTCATTGCCAAGAATGGCTTATTTGCAACACCAGAACGAACCATATGTAAACGACATCTACATATAAATATTCTGTGTTTAGGCTCTGAGGAAGTTATACTGTGAGGCAGGGTTGGTGCATGCAGACTTCAGCGAGTACAACATACTTTGGCACAATGGGTGTATCTACATCATAGACGTCAGCCAGTCAGTAGATCTACAACACCCACAAGCGCTTGTGTTCCTTCTAAGAGACTGTTTGAATATAACAGAGGTAATTACTGGCCTTCCTTCTCAGTCTCTCACATTACCATCAATAACCCACTACGATTACTGTAATTAATCCTCTAATGTAACTTTAACTACCTAGAATGGTAGTGATATTTTGTGTATTTTTTGATTATGAAGGAAACAAACAATATGTTTAAAAAATTAAAAAATTGCTGGCCTTATATATTGCATCAGTCCCTGAATTGTCCCTATTATTTCTGGTATTATTTTCGAGTTGTATCTGAATTATTGTATCTAAAAAAGGGGACATACTTGCCAAACTAAAACAAAAAAGATTTTTTCAAAAATCTGTAAAATCTTTGTCTAGTATTTCTTTGATCACCAATTTATAATTCATATTTCTATACCCTAATCGGGAGAATAATGTGGTATCCACACATGATATACTAGGAACTAATTATCAGATTGTGGAGCTTGACATTAAAATATCAAAGCTGAATGTTCACAGCAAAGTGATTTAATGTGATAAAAACTAAAAATAGCTAAATCGCCACTTTCCACCTGCCATTTTGACTAAGAAATGGCTGTTACCTTCTTCTGATGCTGGCCAGTGTTTTACTTTTAAAATCCGTTGCAAACTTGTGCTATGTAATGTTTGATATTGGAACACTAGATGTGCTTAAAATCCATTTCCATTGTGCATGTATCTATTATTTATCTGTTTCAGTTCTTCAGTCGTAAAGGTGTAGAAAATGTACCATCACAATATGAATTGTTCAATGACATCACAGGTCTCAACTTCACTGGACAGGGAGAGGATTTCGTATCACAAGTAAGAATATTTACACACGATCTGTAATAATAGTGGTCCCTCGCCTCTCCCCCAAAGGGGATATACTCCCATAATTCATACATGAACCTGTTTCCATATAAAGATCAACCTCTGTTTCATTGGGTAGCATTTAAAAAAATGCCCTTTTTAAATGTTTATCTAATTTCTTCAGATTTCCACCAGTTATTCACAATATTTACACCACATGGCTAGAGTTTAGTAATGTTATAAAAAATATTGAAAATGTTATGATTGATATAGAACCACCACCTTTTTTTCTTTTATTTACAGAGGGTATCATTAATATCATGAAAAACTCGTATTTTGTCAGATCAGCTCTTTTTATTCTGATACTTCTTCTTGTTCTAGATGCATGTTATTTCAAATATTTCTGTATTACAGATACAAGAGTACGAGAAAAATGAAGACAGAATGAGGCGAGGAATCGGAAAAGAATATGCCTTTGACCACTTCTTCAGTCAATCAACAAAAGAACGAGAAAATTTAAGAAAAAATACTGGACAATCAGATCAACAGAAATCTTTGCAGGATTTAGACATAGATGACATTTGATGCATATCGCCATAGTATTTATATTTATTTAATGTTAGTTACCCCAGTTACGAGTGCAGAAATAGCCTGAATGCGAATATTGAATGTAAATGGACATTTGAATCCAAAACGGGTGGAATGGGTGCATGCCATGGAAACAATGGTACTTGTTTGTTACACAGCAGGGTTTAGCTGTTTCTTAATGGAGCATTTTAACAAAGGTTTCTATGCATGTGTAACACATTAAAAATTTCATAAAGCTTTTCTGTCATAATATTTCATTATGAAGCAATTGAACCTGCTGTGTTTCTAACCAATGATGGCATAAACTGATGAATCCCAGTTTCAAGAATCGATTATGTGGAAAATACCTATAAAAGAACTGTAGAATTTTATATGGGTACGGGCCTAGCAAGGCATGATACAGGGGAGGCAATTGCCTCACTAAAATTTTGTCTCGAATAATTTTAGATTTTTGCTATGTCCTGTAATGGTAATATGAGTTCCTCATAGATGAGGCCTATCTTTCTTGAAAAACCTTATCAGTTATGCTTTGGGGGAAGGGTGTGAAATCAATTGATTGTATCAATTTTCAAAAGAAAGTGACTAATTATATTATAACAAAAAATTATTATTTGATTGCTGTTGTTTTGTTATTTATGTATAATGCCACCACCAACTGGGCCCTTCTGGTATGATTTGTACAATTTTAAAGTTGGAAACTAGAAAAACAGCAACCTCTGAGATGTAGCAAATCACACCGAACAAAACATATTTCATCAAATCACTCATCATTTTAAACATTACATGATAATAACAAGACAGTAGTATGATAATATTGACTTCATTTGGCAAAATCTACAGTGAGATACATTTATAATGAGACATAATTTCATATTTTGAATAAATCACAAATTTAACATTATCCATATTAAGGTCTCAATTTGAAGAGATAATCTTTAAAGTAATTAGAAGAATAAACTTTGAAATATTAGCTAGATTCATGATGTCACACCTTGCATTGCAAAGTTTAAGATCAGAATTAGTCCTTAAACGGTTAGAATGACTTAATGGATTGGTCGCTTGGTTATGTTTTATATCTTAGTTGACAACCCTACAATAGGAAACAACAACTAGTTTAAATGTTTAGAGATATTATGACATCTAGGCACGTTTGCTCCTGTAACACTCTTGGTCAACCAACTAACCAGGATGTTTTAAAAACAAAGTTTATTGCATTTCATACACCAATCATATTTCTGTAATAGTGTTAAATCAGAAAGATGTTTTTAAAAAATAAAAATATACTAAATTTGGTTCATGGAGAGATTTATAATTTGGTTAGGTTGTTTAGTACAAGAGGGAAACTCAAACACTCACCACCCAAAAAGACTTACATTTGACGATTCAGTCAACATCTTCATGTGTGGAGTCAGTTCCAACAATAAAACCCCAGAATTGCACATGTTATAAAGATTGATAAATTAACATGGGGCTCAATGTAAATGTGCAAAATTTTCGAGGTCTGGTAGTATCCACTCGGGCCATTTTTCATTACCACTTCGTTAGTTATCCAAAATATATGGTATTAATGACACTTTGGTCAAAAAATGGTGCTTTATATATAGCATGCAGGCCCGTAGCCAGAATTTTCAAAGGGGGTTCACTTTTCCAAAAAATTCTAGGGGGGGGGGTTTACTTTGGCAAAAAGCTAGGTAAGATATGGCAGGCATTTTCAAAGGGCTATATCTTTAGTTCTAAGAATACTTTAATCACAAAAACAAATGGTTATGCTAGATCCATGTCTTGTCTTCAATAAATGACATTAGGATGATAATCGAGTCGATTGGATTATCTCTTAAGCTGTCCCTAATCTAACCATCTTCGCCAATTTTCCCGAATTCGGCCGCAATTTTCACCAAAAATGCAGCATTTTATTTCAGCTTTTATGGCAAAATTAGAATTTATTGTAAGGAATGATTTACTTCTGAAAAGGAAAACTTAATTACTTTGGGATTAGGATAATCCGAAAACAATGTTTTTTTAGGCCGAATTTTCGACCTAAAAGTAGCAATTTTTTAATAAGTTTAATGCACGAAAACATTGAGCTATGTCACATGATTGATCTCCAAAAAGAAAAAAATGATCTAAATGAGATAAGCATTATCTGATAATCCATTTGTCATTTTTACCTCATAGGTCATGACCTTAGTGTATAGTGTATGAAAAGATGTCACTTAGAGCGACATTAAGATGTACCCTATTTTATGCAATGATGTTTATAGATAGAGTTATATATGGTCCATAGATGGCACGATATATTCTATATGGGTGAGTGCTTAATACCCTGTGTATTCATTGTTGCATAATTGCGTATTATAGAAATGAGCATGGTTATGTCAACATGACTGTGTCATGTAAAGTATGAACAGTAAAACATAAATGTGTTTAACACCTAGTAAAACACATACGATGAAATGGATATATCACATTAAAGATACAAAAAATGTTCTAATCAAGGCAGCTTTTGACTGCTCCAAAGAACTAGAAGAAAACTCATGGGTTTCAAACGTAAACAAAATAATTTGCTCTATTAATGAAAATTGCTCTGAATCTGTGGATTCTTCAATTGATACCTTAAGATGTACATCATTACTTAAACTAAAATTTGACAGGTACTGGAAGAATAAATTAAACACTGACACTAGGAAAAATGATAACGGCAATAAACTACGAACCTACAGAACCCTCAAGAAAGATTTTAAATATGAACATTATTTAAATATAATCGACAGACTTGATATGCGAAGAAACTTTACACGTTTGAGAATAAGTGCTCACAACCTCCAAATTGAGCAAGGGAGATATACAAAACCAAAGAAAACCCCAATTGAAGAAAGACTGTGTGTCCATTGCAATATTATTGATGATGAAGAACATTTTATGATGAAGTGTAAAAAATATCAAAATGAAAGATTATGACTTCAAACTGAATTGTCTGATACGGCAAAAGCACAAACAAATCAATTTATATACCTCTTAACTTGTATAAATCAAGATTGCAAAATATATTAGTGATGCCTTCCGAATTTTAGAAAGCAATACTTAATTTAGAAAGGCTAATTCCTGCTGCGCAAAAAAGCATTTTGTAGTAATACATATTTTACATTTTACAGTAGTAAGCATATATTATATGTAGTATATAGTAGTCTAGTGTTAAATCATATATATTCCTTTTGTGTACTGCACTTTCTTGTACCTGACCCTCAGGGGTGTGAATGTACTCAATAAATATTCTTCTTCTATGAAATGTTACACATTTGCGATGTTTCAAAACATGATTCAATACCATCTTATTTGAATTAACTCTTCCCATGTGTATCTTTCTTTATCATCAACCATCTTGGATGTTTCGAAAGTGCCTTCTGTAAAGGGGTTTGCTGTAAATGACCTTACGGATAGTGTTATTTGTAGTAGTATTGATACAGGTACCACTGTATACAGAGTACATGCAAATAATAATTTTCTCCAATGGTTTGGCCAAACATTTGTTGCATTTTTTGTTCATTTCAAATTATATTGGATTGTTTTTGCTGATTGGAATTTTTATGGAATAAACAGTTTAATGCTATGGGTTTTGCCCTTTGACAATAGGTACATTGCATTGTGTAATTAAGATATAGTCATTCAATCACTCTACTAGTATTCCCTCAGTCAATACTTCGGGCTTTGTATAAAAAACTTTATAACTCGTACCCACGTACCTACGTACTTGGGGCATGATACATTCTTTGAAGGGTTCATTTCTAACGTTTCAGATTATTCAGATTATATGAATTGTAGGTGCATTAATGCACTCGTAGACCTGATGACCATTGTGAATTCTTGTGTTTTTTTGGATTATGGCGACGGCTTTTGAGAATGGATGTTGACCCTTTAAAACGCCTATGGACTTGGAAGAGACTAGATTTTATCTATCCCACATCATTTGAGACTGAATGCTCTATCTTGTATGAGTACTTGTATCTACAACTATTTTTGAGGTTATGAGTATTGGCTATCAATTTCTAATTTTTTCTTCTACATGTATTGTAATGACTTCAGTATGAATGAAATGTCCCTTGGTGTTCTGGTCTTTGATTGTGATATCGGTTCTTGAATGTTTGGGGGAAAGGGGGTATAAGACATTGTTTCCTTTCACGTTATATCATGGTTTTGAGATATATGGGGTTTGTTTTTCTTGACTGGTATGCACTTAGAGTTTGCTTTTTCTTGCTAAGTTCCATTACAACTTTTGGTCCTTTCCCTTGACACCAGTGCTTAGATATTCTTATAGAACTAACATTTCTAGTCATAAAATAAGGCAAGATTTGCAAAATTGTTTATTTTTGCTATTTTATCCTCTATAAAAAATGCCTAATTGAAATGCTCGTTCACTATAGAACCAATCTACACTAAAACGTTTTTTATTTGCTGGGAAATTCCAGGAAGTCGTCTAAAAGGTGTCACCTACATTGCCACATTTAGATTGCTCCCCCATTTAATATGGAATCATCATCCACTGTTAAGCACAACTGCACAAATTACACTGTCGTGTGTTGGGGTTAATTTAAGATTCCTGAGACTAAAATTATCTTTATTCATGCTGCGATTAAATAAAATGAAACATAGAATACCCTGACATATTTAAAACTTAGACTTAACTCACTTAACTCAGTGTTAGGATGGATTTTCTCTATTGAAAAGTCCTTTGAAAGGCACTATTTTGACAATCAATAAAAACTAAAATTAACAATTTTGGCTTTATTTTATGACTCTATATCTATCTATTTTTGACTAGACGAATTTCACATCTATGGATACTATGAATGTTAATTAATACCTCAGATAGCATTAAGATTGCATAATCTTTTAAAACTTTAAAAATTGAACCCTTCAAAAACTGTATCACCACCCACGCACATGGGTACGAGGTACGGAGCCAATACTTCGTCAATTTGGTCAATTTGAAGACCTTTTTACCTTAAAGAATGTACAGTAGTAACAAAGAAGAGTGCATTCTTGTTCTATTGTTTTTGAAAAATGGACACTGTAAGCTATCTAAAACCAGTGTGGCACAAAATATGATTGACAGTGTTTGGCTCAATATTAACACCTTGACTGTCACATACAGTGCACCGAAGCTGCACTAATTAAACCCTTTTCAATCACTTTACTTTATTCTCTAAAATTAAAATCAAATACATAATAACACTTGACACTTTTAGTAAGTGTATCAGCGTGAAAACATTTAAATATTAACCTGAGTCAAATGGAAATGAGAAAAAGAACAATTTAAATATATTTACTCAGTTAAATGAGAATAAAATTGATAA